TGAAGCTGCCTGCAGTGCGTTGCCGTAGACTCCACCCTGCGCGTTGATGTTGGCGTTGTTGTCTAGCAGCAGCTTGACTATCTGCTCGTTGCCTCTAAGTGAAGCTGCCTGCAGTGCGTTGCCGTAGTATCCACCCTGCGCATTGATGTCGGCGTTGTTGTCTAGCAGCAGCTTGACTATCTGCTCGTGGCCTTGCAGTGAAGCTGCCTGCAGTGCGTTGCCGTGGTCTCCACCCTGCGCGTTGATGTCGGCGTTGTTCTCGAGTAGCAGTCTTGTAACCATAATCAAGCCTAGATGTGCTGCATAGTACAGCGGTGCAGCAACCATCTCTAGACTTTTCCTTAAGTTCGGTTGCTCCCACGAACGGTCCGGATCACACAACTGGATCCAGCTGAGATATGCGGGCTTATCTATTGACATCAGACTCATTGCTAGTGCACTTCCGTCTGTCTCGTCTCCTGTCTTCCGAAGATGGCTGCTCCAGAACTGTGCCGCGTACCTTGCGAGTGCAGATGCCTTAACAATCTTTGTTAACAACGGTTGCTGCAACTGAGTCAGGTATCTCAAACAGCCCCCTGTTATCGCGTTGTGGCATTCGACCTCTTGCATGCTGTACTGCTCTGCTTGTCCTTGCCTGATCCGGTCTGACACAAGGTACTCCTGGACAGAATAGTGTGCTAGAGCAATGATTCGTTGTGCAGGCCTCGATTCTCCCTCCGCTTCGTTCATTGTAACAGTGACTAGACTGGAGCAGATGTTTACTGCTTCTAGCGGATCTTCTAGCACCTCATCACGGTCGAACGCTGGGTCGCGTGCCACGTCGATAGCGACAACTTCGGCAATCTCTTCGACAGACAGCGGCCGCGCAGAGAACGTCAGCCACTGCAGGATGCGCATCGCGTAATCGCAGTCTTCTTTGCTAATTGCACAGAGGATGCGGTCGTATGTCTGATCTAGTGTTTGCGGCAATGTGGCCAGTGACTTGCGCAGCATTGCTCGATTGCGACACTTCGCCAACGCGTCGAGCTGACATACGGCCCATCGGAACCTACGCTATCGTCAGCTTTAGCTCTGCGGGTAGCTAGGTGAACACACGCACATCCCGCAAGCTCCGTGCATCAATGCAGCCTCAATCTCTTGCCTCACAGCAGTGTCCCTGTTCCATTTTGCCAAACTCTTATCGTCAGACAGCCGTTGTTCAACGTATCGTTGTATGTCGCTGTCCACCACGTCCCTCTGAAGACAGATGGTGTCCTCTTCCTTGACACAACTCTCCAAAGAGCTCTCAATATCCCGCTCTTTGCGGCTGGTCATGATTAGATGCAGGTTGTCAAGCTGCCACCCAGCCACTATCTCAAGCACGTCCATCAGTTCCCGGCGCTGTGTACACTCGTCAAGCGCATCAAGAACAATGTAGGCATGCGTGAACTGTTGCATCACTTGCGGTGTTACTTCGAGAAGCGCATGCAGTGATGGCTGTCGATGTCCGTTCTCGCAAGACGAGAACAATGCATCAACGCCCTTGGGTATCGTAGACGAACGCTGCAGGAGCTGACAGAGCAGCGAGCGAAGCATCAGCTCTGGATCTTGTTTCTGTGTATCGTTGAAGTCGAAGTAGAAGTATGCTGTCACTGTACCGATGTCGTTGCAGTGCTGAAGTAGATGCTCGATGATGGTAGAGCTCAGGATGGTCTTCCCGCATCCTGGAATCCCATACAGCCAGAGCCGTGATGCTTTACTCGCCTTCCATCTCACAAACTGCTTGCCCTCTAGCAGCCACAGTCCAGTCTCAGCCTGCCGCTGCTTGTGTGCTTTTTGGTAGTTTGTGGACGGGTCGGGCGCCGAGAGCCAGCTGAAGATCTTGCCAAGCCTCTGTTCTTGGCTTTGGCTGCGGGTATCAGTATCATTCACATGTGCATTGGCAACGTCCTCAAAAGACTCTCGTATCTCCTTTCTCAGTCGCTTCAATGCCTTTTCTTTACCTTCACCGTAAATTAGCGGCAAATGAATGCCGAACATGCCTAGCAGACAATATGCCCCGTCCTCCTCCTCTGTAGTCCGCCGATCCGCTGCCCAGGAGAAACGCTCAGCCACGCTGAACTCCAGCAATGAGGTCCCTGACAGCGCTGCTACGGGTATTCCCGTAATCTCGTGGATGGTGCCCCTAAGCGAGTCCCTGTCCCCCAGCCACTCTCCCTCTGCGGAGAAGAAGCCGACCGATTTGGGAGCGAGAAGTTCCTGGAGAGTCCAGCCACGAGTGAACCATCTGCTTTCTCTAAAAGCCGACTGCCAATCCCGGGTTGGCCCACCGCCCCTATCTAGAGTTCTGGTCTCGACATCTGAAAGGTAGACATAACATCTATCTGCGTCCTGGTACCAGCGAAACATCGAATTGATTGCTTTCGACAGCTCAGTGTTGTTTGACTTATCGATGCAGCAGGTGTCTACCCAAAAGTGGTCCAGACCATCGCGCTTAGCTTGCTGGGCGCAGAAGAAAAGCTTCTGATAACCCCCCTTGAGCTTTGCATCGACATCCTCTATATCTTTGTGGTTTTGGAGATCCTTGTAGGCCACCTCCTGCCCGTCCCAGGTGTGTGACAGGATGGCATAGGGGGGGATCTGGTCGCCGATCAAGTCGTTGGTCCAGCTGAGCCTCCCATCGCTTGCCGTGTGTAGCAGTCGCATAGAGCCGTGTACATCTGTTCGCGCGAGCGGTAGAAGAGGGACTAGGAGCTTCGAAGCAGGCTGGAAAAGTCGGTAGCGTACGGTGCCTCGCTCTCGCAGGACGTGGAGATCGTGCGATGTATTTGTCGAGTTCGTTGTAAGTGCTAAGCGGTAGGCTGCTAAATCAGAGATTAAGGGAGCAGTCTTCAAGTGCTACGGTTCAGAAGGCTATTTGTTGAGGCAGGCTGCGATTCGAACAGGCAGAGTGGGAGGCGCAGCCTGCCTGCACCGCGACATGAGCCCGACGGGCAAAGCTGACAACACATGATCGCGCGACAGGGCACAAGTGCGAGCAGAAAGGCAGTTCTCGCCTAAGGGCGCGATGCGATAGTGCAGAAATGCAAAGTTATAGGCTTGGGTTCCAATCAACATGTGGACGTCCTTGTAGCGTGCTGGCTGCGTAAGGACGCGCTGGCTTCTGGTCGCTGTCCCACTACGGGCCGTCGCGCAACGCAGCGACACCACCGCCAAAAACGGTGTCAAGCAACACGCTCATTTGATTAGCATTAGCACATCGTCTCGGCGTAGGGAGCAAAATCTTGCTAAACGACATGCTAGGTTATAAACCTTAGTCACACTGGCACAGCTTCCAGGGAGCATGCGCCACACCTCTGTTCAAAAAAAGCTATGCAGCACGCGCCACGTCTGTTTTCGAGTGTGTCAGTTTCATTACAGTACAGTACAGCGACTTCCGAGCGCGCTAGTGGAGGCTCATGCAGGCTGAGACGCACTGACGTATCCCGCCAGCTTGGGTTTGCCTGCAGGGTTCTCCTCCCCCGCCCTTCGGAGCGCCCGGCAAGCACGCTCTTGCGCCGAAGTGATCTAAATAGCCGGGCAAGGCCATCTCTCTTGACCTCGCTTTCTCTCGAGCCCTCTAACACGTGGAAAACTGCTATGAGTTGTGAGTAAACATGGGGGTATCGCTAAAGGGTCGTCAGACAGCGTTGACGAAACGATCGACAGCACGATGACCGCTGCATTAGTCCATCTCGGCGACTCATGATCTGCAAGAGAAAAAGGTACACAATCACGACAAACCCACAAGGTCTTCATGAAATTGTGGGAGAGAGACGCCGAAGGTCCGAACTCAACTTCGTTTGTCGCTTTGAGCCACAGGCCAGCCACCCTTTAAGCACCGGTAGACTGCAGCTGACATTTGTGGATCGAAAAACCCGAGGGTGAAGAGCTATGTGCTCTGTGTTGGGTCAATAGAGTATTCGTCCGCCGTTGATGGTTGATTAGACTTGAGCAAAGAGCGCACTCGCATTCGGGCTGTTCATGCTGTCTTGAAGAGATGCCACATGTAGCCTGCCGACCCTGCCATCAGAGTGAGATGCGCCATCATGAACTGATGATAAAAAGATTATGCAGGTCCCAATCGTCCAGTGAATGTGCAATTGTGTTCAAGATACAGTCTGTCCTCACATACAATTATGGTCTGCTATGAAAGGTACCCAGCACTTCCTGCAAGGCTTAATGCTTAGGCAAAGGACTCCTCGCCTCCGCCATCTCCGCTACCGCATTCGCCGGGCTTCTAACATTCGGCAACTCCACACTCGTCGTATACGCATGACGCTCCTTAGTCGGCGACGTCGAAGGCTCCGGTGGTACAGGATAGTATGTCTGTTGATACGGATAACTACCCTGTGCGTGGATACCATGCTGTCCCCAGTCCCCAGACGGATGATGCGATGATGGTGACTCTTGATGCTGTGGACTCGGTGGACCTTGGTAGTGCGAGTTTGGGATATGCATTTCGCCGCGCCAAGGGTTAGACGCAGGTAGCGGTGAACCCTGGGGATAGAATGCTGGTGTGTGGGGCGAGGGTGAGTGGAGAGTGCTGCCTTGAAGTACTGAGCTAGTTGCGACTGATTTCCGGGCCATGTCGGGGCTGCGAGGATTGGGCGTCCCTCCCAGTTCAGATGGTTGACTCTGTCCCTGAGTATTTCGTCTGCGACGGAGGCAGAAGAAGACACCAGCGATGACGGCGATCAGCACAATTGCACCGCCAACTGCGCCTCCTGCTATCGCACCGGTGTTTGTTTTCTTCGGTGATGGCGTAGCGCTTGCTGATGTCGTGGGTATTACCCTACCGCTCATCGTTGTCCGTGCCTGAGCAGAGAATGTGGTTCCGAGGTATTTGGCTAGATCTTGTGTCGCCCAGCCCATTGCGGGCACTGTAGAGGCAGCGTGGCCTGCTGTACTGTGGAAGTCAGCTCAGTCTTAGTCGGAGTCTGGTGCTGTAGGAACATACTCGCCGCCAATGCGTGCAACAATCTGATCTGGAACTCGATATCCAGTGATATTGTCCACGGGCGCATGCCACCACGCCGGACCCGTATCACCACCTTGCTCTACATTCTCTTGACCGAGAAACATGCCATGTTGGCCGCCAATCTTCGGAGCGTCGCAATCTACGACGGAGGTGTTTGTAAGGGAGCCGCCAATGATAATCATTTGCGACTCGCGGAACACATTGCACGAGGACCACCCTTTTCCTCCCGGAAAGATGAACTGTTGTGGGGTTGGCCATATCTGTCCGAGTAAGTGTATGCTTTCAAGGGCTACAGAGTCTTCACCCACCAGAATCCACTGAAAAGATGGGATGGATAGTACATATAGATCGCCGAGTCCGGTACCATTGGGGCTTCCAAAGCCGCCAAAGAGGTAGCTTTTGGCTGTTAGTAGCCTGATTACATTACTCTCGAACTCTGACTAGCTTACATGTTATAGGAAGACTTATCCTTCGCCCAGACTACGCCTGTGCAGAACCCGCGTCTTGACAGTGGCACGTCGCCAGTGGCCGTCTGCGTGTACCACCTTGGGTTTGCAATGTCGTAAAGATAAATTTGCTGTTCTCGGTCAGCTCAGGTGAGCCATACCACTAATCGAAATGACCCACACTCATGTCAGCCTGGAGTATGTCAGTATTGTCATGAGCACCAGCAGACTAATGCCAACTCACATAGGTAACGTTACCATTCGACTGATCTGTCTCGAGGCCGCCAAAGTATACGAGCATGCCACCTTCGGAAGCGGGTAGATAATGTAGCGATCCCTCTGCGCGGGGTGTCTCATCCCAAGTTTGGTTGGTCCATTGTCGGCTGTCCATGTTGTATGTTATCAAGCCGTTTTGCATGACAGGCTGACCATCAGTTCTGAAGTCAGATGTGTTGGTCAAATATCCGCCATAGTAGTATGCGTCTCCTGCGTCCGATACTGCACCAGCACCGAGTGCGGGCCATCGGATACCGTCTTGTGACCCATGGCGCTTCGACTTGTTCCAGGAATCGTAGATGGTATCGTAAAACCACAGCGTGAAGCCACTGCCTTGACCATCTCTCCTCTTCACCTCGTTGGTATCACCATACTCGCCACCAAAGAGGTAAAAGAGCTTGTTTACAGGGTCAGGCCACAGTACACCTCCGCTTACAGAGGGAACTTCTGGGTCCTAAATAGTCGTCAACATCATCTGAACGTTACACAAGGCGAATGTGAGTCAACAAGGCTCACCTTGGACAAGTTAGCGTATTGGTCTGGAAAGTTGAACTCAGTCTTCGTTGCGTTCGAGACATCTTCCCACAAAAGATAGGTATCTGAATCTGTAAGTACACATTGAGTGTCATGCGGATACTGACTCACTCTTTTCAGCAACACTGCCGTTATCTTTTGAACCTCCATAGTAAGCCAGCCCGCCATCTATATAGAGCTTCGAGTCGATGATACATGTCTGATGCTTGTGACGTCGACAAACGTTCTTAATAGGATCTTTGCCGTTCTGTTGAGCGGTCGCTACAACCAGCAGAATACTGAGCAGCGCGAAGCGCATGATGAAGTGGGGAGGAGTCGAAGAATGTGGAGCAGGCGAAGGCTGACAGTGTTAGGTTTTGTCTCCACGACACATCAGGATCTCGATCAGGAGGCTGAGTGACCTCGTAGTAAGCGAAGCGGGGATTTGCTGTCATAATCCAAATCCAGACAACGTGAGACCAATAGCGGTGTTGTGTAAAGGTCCTCAAAGGCCGAGCCTCCAGCCAAAGCCCAGACATGCAAGTACTAATGCCATCGTCTATCGAACCACGCACGTGGCGGGAACTGGGCTAAACAGCAGGTTTGGGAATCAGTCAAATCGATCCATCCAATAGCTATGACTCTGCCCATCCGCCATGATCAATGTCTTTAGGAACTTTTGCAATGCTGATAATATATCTGGGATCCTTCTGAAACTCGTAGCTGGTTGATCGACATCACTTTGGAAAAGTCGACTGCATCTGTGGGCGTGCGTTCGGCTGAGTCTGGAGCTGCGATCACCCGTGGGGGCGAGCCTTAGAAGCAGCATAAGGTAGGTTGGGCTACACCGTTCCGAAGCCATAGGCGAATTACACAGCCTGGTGACCCCAAAAATATCCTGACGCTTCCATATCCCGATGACATCGCTGGTCGAGTTGACGCCAGGCAAGTGCTCACGATGTCTGCTGACCAACATACGTGAAGTGCTCTGAGAATCAAATGTGATTCAAACCCGAGTTTGCGCACGATTTTATCAACGTACAAAGCTGAGGTTGAGATATACGTATGCCATCGTGGGTCGGCCAGAAGGTCAATGCAAGCCACGGCTCGAATCTAGCCTAGTGGCTTGCAGCCCCCGTGAAGCACAGCTTTGAAAGTTCAGCTCGTGGCTCAGCCTTTCGCTACCGAAGCCTAGGACTGCAGGGATGCACGCATGCTGTACGTGGTATAGGCAGAGTGAACGATAGAAACTGCTTACGATTGGTGCTTCCACGCCGCGACACCCGTTCGGGCAAAAGGTGGTCAGCACTCGCTTCCCCTTACCATGCAGAGTCACGTTTTGTATCGCATAGCGCGTGCATGAGATTTCTGCTGCAAGCTGGTGATTGTTTTGCCCATGCTACTTGTATCACGAGTATACCTGCGGGCCGGTAACAACTCTCAGACCGAGCAAAAACCGCAAGGTATGAAGTAAGTTTCGTTGGTACGCTCAACGCCCCAAGCTTCTCGTAAGGCATTAATGGTGAATCTTGTAGGCCATGCATGTTCGTCTTCCAGCGTCCTCAGAAACTGGACAATCGCTCGTTGGTCTTGCACTTTGTCGAAGAGTTCGCCGCTGATGCTAATACCGACCGCAGCTGTTGTCATGCCGCCTTGGAAATGTTTGTCGGCCAGTGCTAGTCCGCAGAGCACTTTGATTGACTCTCGTAGCTGATGTTCCATGGCCAAGTTGCTTGCCCTAGACCCAATCCCGACTCGTTGGCGTCGTGGGTTACAGACAGCGAGGAGCATGCGACCAAGTTCGAGATGTTGCAACGCTACGATGTGAGCATCGTTGGGCTGCCAGATGACGGGGAAGTAGTCACCTCTCTCTGGCCTCGCAGGGCAGTAATACAATGATCGAAAGCAAGATGGCGTGTCAGCGGTCCAGCGATCATCGAAATCCTTAAGTACCCTCCATTTGTCGTATGCGGGACTGTGTTTCTCTGGTGTGTCTGGCGTTACCGTGCTCGAGCCGAAGCAGAACCTCGAGACATCTGCACACCACAGGATGAGACGGTTTGCCCACGTAAAGTCATCGGTGTGTCCTAGTGTGGAGTAGTCCATGTTTTCCGCTAGCGGAAGCCGAAATGGTCTGCGATATAGGAGGACAGACCAGATCTCTTGTCGCAGGGCAATCAAGCATGCAGATTTACGGAGACCCTCTGCCAGTATCAGGTTGCCTCGCTCGTCTCGACTCTGCTTGTCCATATTGTCTAGGGAGTATATCGATACATCGTGATGCTTGAACATTACTGTCTGTACCACGCCTTGGTAGACTTCTGCGTCGAGACCTGTCAAGGAGACTGGAAACTGTCAGTGAGGTTGATAGGGCCTGCAGGTTTCCTTGAGCACCTACTGTCCAGCTGCTCATAAGTCCGCAAGATCGTGGTAGCTGCAAGTGCAACGGCTCTGGCCTCGGCATTGGCTTCATCTGCGGGTGTATCTGCGAAGTCCATGAGTAAACCCAAACAAGCATTGTGGTAATGGATAGCCGAATGTTCATCGAGATCGGGCAGTGGAATGTTCTCGTAATATAGGGTCGTTGGCTTTGGCGTCTTGCTGTACCACCTGCTGGTCAGAAGGCGAGATGACACAGTGCAGATAGCGTACAGCAACACTGGGCTGTTCAGAGCTCGATGCGGCAGGGTGATTGCGTAATGAGCGTCGCGATCGGTCGTGTCGAACTTGAACGTGACAAGTCAGCAAAAGTACAAGATCGGGAGTTTCCTGCTGAAAAATTTACCGAATGAGCCAGTTTCGCTGTAAAGTGCCTGATCAAACATGCCTCTTGCAGGCCAATAGGAAGTGCACTTGGTTGATTGGCTCCTGCACAGCACGAAGTCAATGAGACAAATCTCTACGTGCGAGAGGTGAAAAGACGAACCTGAAGTAGCGGCAGGGGATGGGGTAGCTGCGATGATTGTTGTGGGAGACAGGGCCACAATGGCATGCGCAAGAGACTCAGGTGGTACATAAGCCTCCTCCCATGGTCGGTGGTGTTTGGCCTCTACACTTACAAACGGTACTGAGCATGGTGGTGATGGCGTAGAACTAATTCGGTCAACTGTCACGAAGGAGTGGACACTCGGTGATTGCTCAGCCTGCGCCAGTGGTGAGAGCGACTGCAGTACCTGCTCTGGCTCGTCAAATTTTGTTGGCGCATTCGAGGCTCCAGTTACCGCTGCTGTCTCGTTGAGGAAGGACGACGTTGATGAAGTCTGCAGCCATGGTTGATCGGCAGCGAAGCCAGCTGCTTTCTTGGACTTTGCTACATTCCTGAAGCGAAGCTGCTTTGTCGCATTGATGCACGGTATGTCTGCACACTTGCAGTTCGGACATGGCTCCTTGCTCCCCCTTATATCACCTGTACAAGGTGAGCCATGGCCAAATTCGGGTCTGTCAGATCGCAAACTCACACTTGAGATGTCGACCCCTGCATGCTTCACATGGTCGTGCTCGCCGCTTAGGCGTGGGCATCGTTCGCCGTAAGATGGTGATATCAGCTCCTGGCCTTCGGACACATTCTTCCTCTTCTGGAGCGATACATCAGCCGATGGCCGCGGGAGTGGTGCAATGGTAAGGTGTAAAAGCAGGGCGAAAACATGCGCTCAAAGTGGAAGGATCTCCGCCGGGATGCAACGCTCGATGGGGAGTAGCCAAAATCAAAACGACAGTAGCTGCCCCTCTCCACCGTCGTCTCGGGTTGGCTACAGATTCCGACATCGTACACCAACCTCACCCTTGGGTCTTGTCAAACGTGAAGCGTGACTGCGTGCAGGCACAGCAGGTAACAACGCCATTGTGTAATGGCATGATGGTTCAGGAGGGGATTGGATCCTAGATGTGGCAGGATAGATGCGGAAGGAGCTCTCAAGCAGTCCTCTCCCGACCAGAGAACGAACGTTCTTTCCTCCAGATCCACGGCACCCGCATCATTTGCAACTTTCTGATCTCTTTAGCGACACATGTTCGCTTTCGTCGACAGTCTCACTGTCATCTCGATACTCAGCTCCTGCTTCTGTCAGTCGGACGTTGCCAGGTCGTTTACCAAAGCCTGTGTAGCCAGCCTCATCGGGGTTGTGCAGCGTTGCGTCTCAACTTTGCAAGGCGTGGACTTTACCCAAGCTACACCTACGTCTGATGTGGCTCGAGTCTTTTGTCGGCATCTGCAATTGCGACGACGCAGCCGGATGCGTGCATTCCAAGGTCAAGTGTCCAAGGTGAAGCTGCCACGCCTGTTGTCGACGAGGTTGCGCCGAAACGGCAGCCCGCAGTGCTGCTGAACCATGAACGCCGCCAGGAACAGCAGTATCTCACTGAGACCTTTATACACTAACCGCAGCGTTCGGCTCTACGATGGGATTGGTGTCGGCACACTCGCCATGGGCGCGCCTTTGTGCATATATGAGATGGTACCACCCGACCCACGAGGTTCACTGCTGGTCCTTGAGGCCATCAGCATTGTCGTGGGAGAAGACGACGGCATAGGCAATGGAACCCCGTGCACGGGGCTACAACGTTCAGGCTGCAGGGGTCTATGGCAGTAGAACGATTCATCACTAGTTGGCATTCTCTCTCGAAGCGATCTCCATGGTGACGATGATGGTGGTGATGATGGTGATGGTGGCCGCTTGCAAGGTTGCAGCGACGGTGGACATTAGTCTGTGCTTGCAGGTTGGCCCCTGTGCCACCTGGAGGTCTGTGTATCCCGGGGGATCTGTCGTCCGAGCAACAGATCGGGGGAGATGAACGTCGTCATAGCGCCGGGTGTTGACGATGTTTCGAGAGCATCCAAGACAGGATCCAAGACAAGATCCAAGACAAGACGTCGAAGTGGGAAGATGCGGATTTTGCGACCTGGCGACGCGTGGAAGCCGGCACGACGCATGTGGTGTGATCGCAGTGGACAGTTCCAAGGCAGGCGCTATTGGTGGAGCGGCGGGAGGCTGGACAGCGGGTCGGACTCGCGGCAGGAGCGGGGGTGCTAGCTCGATTCGTGGCTCTATCAACTGCGGACCAGGCTTTGGGCAGCAGAGGAGACACATTCAATCGCATCAATAGTTTCCAGCAGGCGCATTGATACCACGTATCCTGATACTCTCGCTACCGCCATCTGCACGCCTCTCGTTCGGACGGGTCAATCTGCACGCCTCTCGTTCGCACGGTCAATTGTGCTACCTGGTCCCCCGTGCAACGAAACGGCGTGGCGACTGATCCCCCCAGCCTCCCGATAAGATCTTGGACGGCCCAGCCACAGGTCCTACAATTATTGGAACCAGCTCGCTCGCCCCAACCACGCTCCAGCGATTATACGGGAACCGAGATTGCGCTGACTCCCACACGCCATATATTGACACGCTCGTTCTGGGGCCGCCGGAGCTCTTTTCTTCTTTCTCACTATGTTCTTCAAGCGCCGCTCGTCCCGCGCCAACAGCTACGTTGAACACGACGGCAACCCGCGCTCGCAGTCTTTCGACGAGTCCCTCGAGAAGCGCCCCGAGAGCAGCCGCAAGGAGCAGCCGATCCCAGGCCAGCAGGACCAGGACGACGCCGACATGTACCCGCGCCCGCACCAGCCGCAGGAGCAGAGCCTGCCCGTACGCGGCATGTCCAACGGCGGCCACGGCGGCCACAACGGCCACGGCGGCATGCCAGCAATGGGCGGCGTCCCCGTGCCCGCCATGAACGCGATCAAGCCGGAGCCCATGCCCGACCTGCTCGCCGCCGCCTTCAACCAGGCCGTGCGCCCGTACACGGAGAAGATCGAGCAGCTCGAGAGCCAGCTCGCCGACATGCAGTCGTGGGTCGAGCAGCTCGAGGCCCAGCGCGCAGAGGTCCACAGCTGGATCGACAAGCGCGGGCTGCGGCCAGGTAAGCGGTCCATCCCCACGGCGCGCGCGCGCACGCACAGCTAACGGTTGCAGACGTCCCCTCGTCCATCGCCAAGATCATGGACACCACCACCCCCGACGCCGCCCACACGCTCAATGCCCAGCTCGACCGCAAGATCACCATCGTCAACTTCGACCTGCACCGGCTGCAGGACGACCTCAACGACTCCATCTCCTCCAGCCACTTCGCCTCCTCGATGCTCAAGTTCCTGCCCGACATCCAGCGTCTGACGCTCCTCCCCCAGGGCCCCAAGTACGCCTTCGACCTGATCCTCAAGCTGGGCGGCAACCTCAACTCGCACGGCGGCCTCGACAGCGCCGACAGCACCGACATCGCCGCCCGCCGCGACTTCTACAGCCGCCTCGACACCGCCATGGTCGACGTCGTCCAGCGCCGCTTCGGCGAGGGCGAGGAGTGGAATGTCCAGCGCGAGATCAAGCGCATCGAGAAGACAGCCAGCTACCTCAAGACTTACGGCGTCGAGCCCTACTTCCCGCAGACACGCGAGGTTATGGCGAGGGAAATGGAGTTCCAGCCCAACGGCGCGCCGAATGGCCAGGGGACTCCTCCCCGGTACCATTAGCTGTCTGAAAGTGTGTGAGGAGGCGTTGTGCTGATGTCGTGTAGGGCGAGTGAAGAGAGTCTGAGGCTGACGCCGTTGTCGGCTCGCTGCGATCTGGCTGCGTACGAGGGAGAGCGTCTGGGGCCGATGCCGGCTCACTGCGATGTGGCTGCGTGCGAGGAGGAGATGTCTGGACGGCTGGCTGTATACCCGCAGGATTGGCGTCTCGAGGGACCAGCGAAGCGTCGACCTTTCGCGCCGCCGGTCCTGAACATCTTCGCGTTCAGTCAAGGCGAGGATATCGACGCTTTCCAGGACAGACCACCGACGCCGGAAAAGACATCTGAGCCGGATGACGCCGCACCGGGTTACCACAGCGAACTGTTCCCTGGCTTCGCCATGACCCACAGCTTTCCCGTCTACGTCGACGCTATGTCTACATGGAGCAACGGCCGTCTCCTGATCGAACGAGAGCCCTAGAGAGGCGACCAAATCAGGATGCGCACATTCGACTGGATCAACAAAGACCGTCGCGAGCGCGGGGTTCGCCACCTCGAAAAGGATCATGATGCATTGAAGTACGCATGGGTCAAAGCTTTTGCAGGCATCTCCAACACCAACCTGCATAGGCCCATAGAAGTCCATTCGGAGCCCGCGATGACCGAGCCTGAGCCTAAACCTGAGCCTGAACGTGGGCCTCTGACGACCGAAGCTCTCAAACAACTAGAGCGCCTGCAGAGCGAAGCGTTTACTCAATTCAAGGCAGCGCTAGCGCGGTTGGAACTCCATGTAGAGGAGCGAAAAGACTCGGCACAACGTACAGATTCCTGGGTCAAGTTCGAGCGCTGTCGCTCCGTGAGCGAGGGTCGCGTACCTGCTTCCCATTTCGACAGCGATACCCAGCCTGTCTCCAAGAAGTTCACGATTGCAGGGCGGCACTACAATGAGTTCATACCCGGTGCGTTTTCGTGGTCGTTCCCTGGCTCAGGATCACTACCAGATCTGGACAATGCCGACGGAGAGCCAGCTGCCGACCGTGAGCTAGCAGCAGACGCTCAGCAGACGACGGTCGAGGTCGAAGATCTCTTGGCTGCACAGCCGGAGGTTGAACCCGACATCAACGGTCATGCGGACAGTGCTCTCCTATCGAAAGCTTCGTCTCCAACGCTGCCACACACCGATCTCGGCGCTAACATCGACGGCTACGGAGAAGCCATGAGTTCGCTCTTCGGCCCTTTCGGTTCAGATGGCATGGTCCCATCAAATCTCCTTGGCAACGAGGCACAGTCGGCATCGAAATCCGGCGCAGACGACGCTCCTTCCGGCACACCTCATAGCCCAATATAACTCGCCTGCACAACTACCACGCACAACTACTCCTACACATTCTTACACTCGATACAACAACACATCACACCACTCCAACACACAATTTCAAAGCACACCACACTTCTCATTACTACGGCCTTTCTTACCATGGACGTACACATCAAAGCATCATGGGGTGCTTACGATTGTACTTAATACGAAACGAATCTCTTTGTTTACTTTCGGGGTTCAGAATGATGGGAGGCTAAGATACCATTGCGATGGCGTTGGCGGGTCTGGATATTTAATCATTGATCTGGCTGAACAGGCCGGATTGGGTTATGTAGAATGAATACAAATATTAATAATGACTTCATACTTCCTTCTATCGGAAGCTCGCAGTGGTATGTAATCGCAAGTCTATTGGGATATACCAACGTGCCCTAAATCCTGCAGCACAAGAGATCTTATCACCAATATCGCAACAGATATGTTACGGCACTGCGATTCTGCTGCTTCGGGTAATGCGCTCATACATCAACAGCCCCTATGCTTTCCCAGTCATCGCAGCTGCCTACTTCTGCTGCTTCTTGAGGCAGGTGTTCTTTCCCATCCAGAGAACTTTCAGAACTCCCGGAAGCTGCTTCGCAGGCATTCTCCCCGTTGCTAGCTTTGGCAGCCCTTCTGTCCGTCGTTCGGTCGGTGAACAACGGCCCACAATCGCACTTGGGTAACGCATTTCGATCCCCTCGCATGGAGTACGGCTTGGGTACGTGGCTGTAATCTTCATCGCGTTCTCGAACTTGGCCGCTCTGCAATTCATTTCGACCTTGCTGCTAGGCGGCTTCAAAGCTGTCGATATCGTTCTCGGAACGATTCAAGACATCCTGGCTTTTGGAGTCAATGAAGAGCCACCAGGATCTGAAACTTCATATCCTGTCCACCCACACGTGATAGCAGCCACTGGATCGGACCCATGGAGGATTGGGCCGTCGACATAGATTCTATTTGCGGAACTTGCCCAACTCCCGTCTGAAGCTGTGGGTTACATCGGCACTGGAAGCACTCCCCGTGCCTACATTCCTTTCACTTCGACATCTCGACCTTCTGCTCTACGGAACTACTCTGGTCCGGCAGCTGTGATTGATGCTAGAGTTGTTTCATCGCACCACCCATCAAACTCTACAGAGTCCAAATGACGGGCGGTTCCGGGCCCCTCTACTTCAACCTGATTACGGAGGGTTCTTATCCTGGTCTGAACTTGACCGACTTAAGGTGGGCCGATACGAAATGGTTCGATACAGAAACTTTGCATAATTGGTACGGGAAAACTACATCTGTGGAGCTCGATTTGTCTGGGACAATAGCTCGGCATCTTATGGCCTCAGTCTGCGCGATGTGTCGAACTGAGGCTCGAAAGTTGGTATGGATGTCGCAGCCCATGTCACGAACAGCACAGATCAGCCTTGGTCGTATCTGCAGCTTAATACAATTGGGGGACCCAATTGGCTCGAGGTCTTTCCGTCATGAATACAGGACAATGTAGGCACATCTGCAAGCCTTCCATGGCAGCAACACACTTCTGGTTTATGGCGGAACATCTTCGCGAGCAAGGATGGCCTTGACGTTGGTCTAAATGTCAGTCTTCGATTCTCGATTCCCGTGCCAGGGGACCACCATGTTTATATATCAGGAGAGAGTCAACTCTTCGAGCCGGTGCTCTCATGGGACGGACAACAAAGGGGTTACGACACCCGTAACGCACGGCGATCACTCGGCACCGTGAGTGATCCACTCGCACCACGCGATCGTGGAATACTCGACCTGCAGCCACCTTCCAAACGAGATGAGCGGGATACTTTGAAGTTAGTATCGGATATGGTATACTACGAGTGGTTCAAGATAGCCAGCATATCGTTTGGCTTCAACGATATCGAGGATCCAAGTGACACAATGACGACCATCATCTTCGACCATCCGTCATATCAGAACGCGTTACACGCAACCAACAGCGCCATATTTACACAGACTTTGAGAGAAACAGGCAATTTTGCACTTGCCCTGAAAGCCTTGATAACATTCCTGATGCAAACAACGTACTACGACGCTCTTCCCCGATTCCATGTCAGCAGTCCCGCAGAGTAATAGAGTGGTGTCGCCGGTCACTATTCCGGCGCAGTGGACGTGTCTCATTGTCGTTATGGCTCTTCTAGCTATACATCTCGTCCTGGTCTTTATTGCTATTGTGGTCTTTCTGCTCACAACAGAGCATTCGCGAGTCGGTACCACCTGGCAAGCGGACCCCTAGATCTCGTCGCCTGATACGTCTGACATTCATAGAGAAGCTCGCCGGTACTCTAAGGACGTGGGGAATAGATCTGAGGTGCTTCTGCAAACAAGCGCACACAGTGGACGGGGCGAGGTTACGTACCACTGTGGAACATGTTGAGTTTGAGCAAGTGCAAGCAAGACGATAGATGTAAGGGATAATGATTCCAGTCAAGTTATGCTTGAGAAACACAAGAATCGCGCGATAAGAGAAGTGAAGCCCGCCTCCCAATTATCAGAGCTTCATAGCTCAACACACTCGCCTCTCCCAACATCTCCCTTCTTCCAGCTCTCCAAAATCCCCTGCACTTTCTTCGGCATAGTGTCGTTCCCGTAGCTGAAGTGATCGTAGATGTACTTCCCTGGTAGGGAGTGTCCGAAGGAAGACATGTTAATGCCAGCGTCGGCGTAGCGTTCCCAACCCAGAGCGACGTAGGGCTCGATGACAACGGCGGGGATGTTCTCGTTTCGCCTGAGCACTTCGCGCTGGTAGGAGAGTGGCTGTGCACGCAAAAGCGTGTGTGAAGGGAAGGAGAGCACGCGCGCTTTGACGGACTGTTTGACAAGGGCGTCGTCCACGTTCACGGCGAAGCTCGGATCAGCACCAACGCTGATCAGAGTCACATCCGCGTCCTTCTCCACACCCTCGCGCTTCGTAAGGCCCGCCAGCTGGGGATGTGCATGTAGGCTAACACTGATCATGAAAGGCCCGTCGGTGTTCTCAATCATCGTCTTCCACGCGCCCGCCACCTCCTCGCTATCGTCAAGCCGGATGTACTGCATATGCGGCATTGCACGGTACAGCGCCGCTAGCTTCACAGGATGATGCGTTGGCCCGTCTTCACCTGCGTCAATGAGTCCTGAGTTGCATGAAGAGCAGCTTTTGTCTGTTTTCTCCCTGCCCCTTTCCATGGTGGCGACGATGGCAGCGATGTCGTTACTGCCGTCTTCCACGTTGAAGATCTGCCAGCCGCAGGCTTCCATCTTCTTGTTGACTTCTTCGTTGTTGGTCAGATCCACACTGCCATCACAACTGATTTGGTTGTTGTCGTAGATGACTGTCAATTTTCCGAGCTTCAGATGGCCAGCATAGCTGAAGGCTTCGCAACCGACGCCCTCTTGCTTGCATGAGTCGCCAACTGCACCAGGTGTGGTTGTCGAGGATATCGTATCCAGGGCGGTTGAAAGTGGCGGCGAGGCGCTTGGTTGCAATCGCCAAACCAACAGCGTTTGCAATACTTTGCACCAAAGGACTAGTGGTAAGCTCAATGCCCTCATGTTCGATCTCGGAATGTCCAGTACGAAGACTGTTCGGTCGTTCGGAATAGTATGAAAGCAGTTGCTCCCACGTCATTACCTTGTATCCCGAGAGGTTAAGGTTGGTGTACTGAAATAGACATGTGTGGCCATTCGACAGAATGAAGCGATCTCTGTTGAACTAGTCTGTCTGGTGTGATGCATATCTCATGGCATACCTCCAGAGCGCTACACCGATCACGGCCATGCCTATGGCTCCTCCAGGGTGTCCTGCCGAAGGTTAGAAACGAACTCGGTCTATCGTGGTGTAACAACTTGTCCATGCCAGATTGTTGGCAGAGGTCCACAATCAATAGTCTGAAGTTCTGCAATACCTAGCTGCATGTCATCTTCGCTCGTTTATAAAGGTGTTGAAGGCTTGTGTTCATCCTTGATGACCTCGTCGCTAGCGACCTCTCCATAGGCCGTTGACCCGTTCTTTGTGCCGTTGACGCCTGGCATTATGAAATGGGAAGTCGAATATAAGTAGGATTAGAAGGGCGTGCAATGCAACAGCAGCCTCGAGGTCAGTAATTAGTCAAATATACCCAGGCGCACAAACGGGTCAAGATATACAAATATCGGTGCCTTGCAAGATGTACGAACCCCCCTGGATTGTGGCACAATATCATCAAGCATACGTCACAGGTGGGCGAGAGCTTCCGAGTGGTTAGCTAAGGCTGGTAGATAGGATGGGTGACAGTCTGGGTGACAGGACGCAGGGCAGAACGTGGGATGATTTAGGGCACCAAGACAATTAACCACTCACGTATGTGCCCTGCATGCTATACTGTTGTACATACATTCACTGTGCCAAATTTCGGGAGGGTCCGTACATTTCGCAAAAGATTGTACCTTCTCATCAAACAACGACGTGAGTGCCTAGCTGTAACTCTACCATAGATTCTCGCGGGTGGTGCCTCGGGTGACATCTTGATCAACGCGGGGAGGCTCGAGGCGCTGTGAACCAGTGGGGACGGACTCCGGAGCTTCTGGAACGCTCATCCGACGTGTTTCTGGAGATTTCCATGTGGCGCGTTCATATAGCCGTTGCCACTTGTAGCCACTGATGGCTTGCATGTCTTGTTGACATGCGGTGGTTGCGATTTATTTTTGTTGATGGGGTGGCTGCGACTGCTATATTCAGTGTTGGTGGGATTAAGTATTAAGTCGGTCAACTTCACCAGAGATGCTGTCATACTGCGAAAAATGAGTGTTGTCGTTGTTTTGAGTGCGTTGATGGCAGGGAAAGGTCGTAAAATCGAAGTAGAAAGCCCGCCAAGCCTTATTTAACAACGTCCTCCACTGTTTGGGAGGCCTTGACTTCTAGTATGGCAGAAGTACAATGTCTCTATTGTAGTCCAATAAATTATTAGTATCATGTTACACTACATAAACATTATCAAAGTATCACGTTGCTTCCTCATCCCTACTTCTTGCGGAACATCTTGTTCTCCTTCGTCCCCTTGATCCACATAGCATCCCTCTTACTAATCTCTAAAGCACTCCTCTTCCTCTTCGCCTCTGGCGGTGCAGCAGCTGTAATGTTGCCGCAGTCGGGAGTCGTCAACTTCTGGCCGAACTGATCAACGGCCCAGATCAAGACACCGTTGCTCCAACCAAAGCCCTCTACTACCGTGTACTCACCACCCCCTCCACGTGCATTGATAGCCTCGTCGGAGTACTTCTCGAAGATCGTGCCATTACCCTCTGCGCCAGGCAATTGTGGGACTTCGTCCGTGGCGCCGCCGGTGGAGCGCCATGTGCAGTACAAGGAGTCTGTGTAGCGCTGCGCAAGGCGGAGCGCGAGGTCTTGCGTCCACACGTAGTCTTCAGCGGTCTGCTCGTCATCATCTCCGCTGACCTCGAGCGGTGCGTTGAGCAGGCCCTGGATGACGACGTACTGCAGCGGCGGCCAGACGTTAGGCTCATCCCACTGCTGACCAGTGAAGAGATTGGTAGCAGAAATGGCACCAGCTTCTGTATCGAGTGCCTCTTCAACGCGAGCGAATGCGCGGCGGATTGCGCTGGGGTCGCCCTTGATGCTGTCTGGTGCCGCACCAGTCCAGAAGGGGTATAGCTGGCTAAGCTGGAACCCGACTTGGTAGCCTGCAGGTGCACCAGCGAGTGAGAGTGGCGTGCTGGTGTTGTCAGCGAGGGTGTAGATGTTTTGAGCACTGGAGGTAAGGTTGTAGTCGAAGTAGCTGTAGTGCTCAGCGTTCCATAGGATGGCTGTCATGGCTTCGCTGCGATTTCTGGCTAGCTCAGCCCATTGGCGGGCAGCGCTGTAGTTCCCCTCACGGCGGTGAAACTCAGCGATGGTGATCTCGTTGTAGTATAGGATCGAGTTCAACTCGACGGGGATGGTGTTGATGACGTTCAGCGAACGAAGTGGGAAGAAATTGTCATTGACGGCATCTGAGGGGTTCTTCAGCCAGCGTGAGGCATAGTCCCACCCAGACTCGGCTCCAGAGGCTAGGTTAGCATACAGTACGGCCTTTTGAGTGTCATTGAGCGGCTGGCTTGCGTTGAACTGCTCTCCCTCTTCGTTGAAGTAAGTCAGATTGTTTGCTGTGATGTAGTCCTCACGGTACGATTCAGGGCGCGGCTGGGTGTTCGAAACGTTGTAGTGGTGCAAGGTGTAGTTCCTGCCGCCGCGCTCGAGTGTTACAGAGCGGTTGTTGACCCAGAACTCGTACTCCAGCTCCAATACGGGCAGCGCACGCTCGAGCAGAGTGTAGTTCTGCGTGTACTCAACGTAGACACGAACCATCTGAGTAAGCAGCGGTGGTTGTGATCGATTCTCGTAGTACCGTCGGGCTCCATTGGGGACAAAACCGATCTCCTCAACAAGATCCATGAAGTTCTCGATGATGTTCTCAGCGATCTGGGTGAAGGATCCCTTGGTGCGCAGCAGGCCCTCGACAATCCAGAATGAGTCCCAGTAGTAAGGTTCGCGGAAACGACCACCAGCTACCACGAAGGTGCGGTTGATAGGAATAAATGAGTTGACGCATCCTGTGCAGTTTGAAGTGCCAGTTCCGACATAGCGCCGTGTAAGATCGGGCCAGATGTCGATGACTTGACGTGTGAAGTCCACGATAACGGAGCTGTTGACGTTCTCTAGGAAGTCAGGTTGGGTCTCAAGCTGGTCCGTGGGTACAGGCTCCAGCTCTGAACCAGCTTCGCCAAAGTAAGTAGTCAAAAAGTTGTTCAGTTCTGTGTTGTTCTGAATTGGCCTTGTGAGATTGCTGAATGCTGCAAGGACCTCGTCCAGTGGGCGAATTGTGGGCCTAGAGTTTATTAACATGGCATACCAAATTCGAACATTGATACCTACAGATCGACGAAAGTCTTCGAATCTGAAAATGGGCGAGCGAGCTCGATCTCGTGCAGCAAGCCCCCATAGCAATAGATCGGTGAGTCGCAAGGTGCGATAACCGAGCCATTCTGGTACAAAGCAGTCGCCAATTGCGCACTGGCAAGGATGGCGAAAGTCCGCATTTTTAGTTCTTCCCAAATGACAGTTCAGAGCGAGAAACCACTTGGAAAAGCAATTCACGCACACGAAAGCACGATTGACTCCATTATGTACCTGTACACCGGTGTATGCACCCGGTCGGTGTACGACGACAAGCGTCAAAGAAACCTGCCATAGCTGCTGCCGGTGTGCACAGACAAGTGAGTGTGACACGTATGTGGCTGGTCATCGTGCTGGTAGACAGGCGCAGTCATCCCTTGGCGATTCATCAGGAAAGGCATTGATCACGATGTTCTGCGTGTTTATGGGTCGTCGCGTGCAGGTTGGTGTAGCGGATGCATGGTGGAGAAGCGAAACCCCGCAAAATCTCACTAGGCGATGTCTTTGGCGGCGCCGCGTGATGTCATTGCTGTCAAGTACTCGACACCCCACAACAACCGTTGCGTACGCCTGAGGCATTGCGTGTCCAATTGAGATGCAATTGCCGGACTTACCTTGAGGCAGATTTAATCTATATAAGGTGATCAATCTTATACGCCTGTGGTCCATAACTTTTCAGTCTTTGTGGAAACTATGATGGTTTGCGACTAAACAATGACAGTGCTCGGGGCGCACTAGCAACCCTTGTCAGATCCGGCCGTTCCACGGAAAGCGGCCTGTCAGCCGCTGTAATGTTGCGAACAGCCAACGTCATGCCTCGTAAACTTTATCACTAGTCTACATTCCTTTGCCCCTTGCGCCGGTTGCATACTTGCAAAAAGTCTCTGGATGGTCACATGTTGAACGATCCCTTGACCAGGGAGACGCTCCGCACGTGGCTCTGTGGATGGAATGCACAAGTCTTGGTCCCGTACACCAGGACAACAGTCCCATTGTGTCAGGGAGTGTGGACAGTACGCATGTGCGGAAGTATTGAAGGATTGAACTGAGGTTGTATTGGGTGAAGCTACGAACAGTATGTATAGGTGAGTAGCTGTAAACAACGCTAGTGTGACGTGGCAGTCACTCTCATGGCAGGCGAGGTACGACAGGCAGGAGCACTTTAAACCGTGACACATTGCCTAGAAATCGGCGAAGCAAGGGTCGGCATGCTGCTGACTGGTGAAGTGCATCTGATGGCGCTCTCTGGGCGATGGGTGACAGGTCCGCATCCTGCAGCAGCGGGAAATCTTGTTGCAGTAGATGCAATAAATGAAGGTGTAACCGCGCAGGGCAGTCAATCAAGGGGGGGAGGGGGAACGCAAAGCAGTAAAATCGGTATAATGTGTTGTTCTTGTTCTGTGATTGTCTCTCACCCGGCCATCATCAGGATCTGTTTTCATGACGTATCTGTCATTCAGACAGAGGTAGAAAGTGCTTGTGGAAAGAGCAAGAACACTGCACCAAAACACGTGGCACACATGACCTCCTTACTCCATAAACCGTCACAAATCTCTACGACATCAGGCAATGGCAGATTCACCGCGGAGGATGCCCTGCGCCTGCCGGTCAAGAATCTTTTGGACACGGTAACAATGCCTTTGTCTTTTTTTGCATTCCATCGATGCCGTGGAGGCACGATAACAACAGGCAACTGGATTGATATTACGCAGATATACTCCACACTCCCAAGTGCTGCCTTGATCAAAGTGTGTCCCGCCCCATGGACATTTCCATCTTCGACTTCTCGGTGGCTCTGCTGGGATTCCTACAGCTTTTACTTCATGTCGGATGCTTGCTTGCTGGACTGTTGTCTTGTTCAACCACGCTGTTCCTGCCTTCTTTAAAGCAATTTCCCTAGCGGACCTCATGTTTGCAGCATTTCCTGCTCTGCTCCTTCTTTGTGTATCTCACGACCAGGCGGTCGTCTCCATGCACCACACGGACTCCTCCGTCCGCTCACTACTCTCAATCTGCACGCTAATCACCACTTCCACCGAGTCCTTCCCTGTGCTATAGCACCACAGAGTCTCGCATTAGTCCCAGCGCACGGTTGTTTGTTTATTGCTTCTGGCGAGCCACCGACAGTACATGCCTATGTCTCGTCTCTCATAGTCATTGAGCTTCCTTGATTCTTTCGTCATGATGAAAGTCTATCTGTGAGTTGGTGGGGCTTCCCTGTAACAGGGGGACTGCTCGAGAACGATATCACAGAGAAGGTCGGAGTTGACGAGGTCTACTAATTCGAACGGTATGTTCAAGCATGCATACTCTAAATACCTGCAGAACTCGTCAGTATTGCCGGCCGAATCCCAGTCTTGGCTGAACGCGAAGCGCAAAATCATTTACTGAGCCCAGGCTTGCACCACGTGCAGAAAGCTTCGGGCAAGGCACTTCCTGTCGCGATCCATCGGCATAAGTCGCCAATGCGTGTCCGGGCGGAATAGCGTGACGGCCGACTGAGGATGTATGAACGACTCCAACAATTGCGGCATATCCTTGAGGGCGATGTAAATCATGACGTGTTGGAGCATAAGCGGTACAAACTATGTACAAATTTGCTTGTTGACGCCGCATAGACCGATGTGATCGTCAATATACCCGCTCCAACGCTTCGAATTTGGGATTAGGTTTATATGGTTCTCCGTGTGTACTACCCCATCGCTAACATGTGGCGGTGTAGGCTGCTGTAGTATACTGATAGCTACGGTGAACGACAACATAGGACTATCGAGTTGATGGCACACTGCGCTGAATTGCTATCCAGCTAGGAGAAGATGACTTTATACCTGACTTGTAACACACAGACTAGGGTAGTCTGCTACGAGCATAGTCAGACCCTATATTTGACGGTTTATGAAGTATGGAGGTCATGTGTGCCACGTGTGTTGGTGCAGTGCTCTTGCCTGTTTCAACAAGTACCTCCTGATCTTGACTGCACGAGACATACGTCATGTAAACAGGACTGCCGGTGAGAGGCAATCGTACAACACTGAACAAGAACAACACAATATACACTAATTTCACTGCTTCGTGCGGTGTCCCCCTGACTGACTGCTCTGCGCGGTTACACCTTCATTTATTGCAACTACTGCAACATTATACGTACCGATTGACACCGCAACATGACAGTATTTTCGTAGATAGAGTTCCGGACTTCAGTGGATATTCAGGTGGGGAATTAGCATGACGGTTCGTCGTATTCTTCCGGTTCCGCGGCGAGCGATGTAGTGGGATTGAGTGTTGCTGACATCGCGACGCCCTCGATCTAAACTGCGGCCCGAGCGGTGGTAATCTTGGTGTTGAAAGCAAGAGAGAAATTGCAGTAGATGAAACTATGGAAGGAAGAAGGTGCTTCCCCAATTTAAACACTTGGCGCGACCAGGTGGCTTGAGAAGGTAAGTGAAGGTGGAGGTAAGAAAGCTTGAACCATTTCGGAAGGTATGGCCAACACGGACCAAGGGACCAGAAGAGTCGTCATATTAACTGCAATCAGATGCTCACCAAGAACACCCCATACGTCAACGATTGACAAGCGCGAGTTGTACCTATCACTGATCATTGCCATCACCTGCAGTGACAGCTGATACAGTCTCCCCGCCTCATGTCTGGCTTTATGTCGTACCTTGAGGCTAGCATGGAAGATCCTGCAGATCAGACGTACTTTTCAGCGAGCCCTTACTCATTATCTCGAACGCAGATCCAAACCTCCGCGAACTTCCTTGACAACAGCCCTTCAGGTTACAGAGCCAGCGGCAAGAGCCCGGATTTGATGTTACCCAAGCACTTTCGTGGCGCCGTTTCCAATACGTCGTTGAGGTAGTCACAAAAGGCCTCTGCTACTGCGTGATTCGACCCAGACTCTGCGTCCATTGTTCGATTCTAGTGTGACATGTAGACCACGAGCCCAGGTTTTGGCGATCAATATACCAGACAGATCGTGAATATTTGTTTGTTTGGCCTGCTGCTTAGGTACTATGACCCTCACTTCGGTTGCACGTAAACCGTGAGTAGAGTGCTGGCAAAGTGATGCAAGGCATTGTGGGGAATAGAAAGTGGCGAAGAATTCTGTCGAATCGTCAAGTGCAAGCTGGGCAGTGACGATATTGAGCATCGGTGTGAACTCAGCGCGTATCTGCTTGTTGACACCGCAGAGACTGCCGAATATATTGTTGACATGGCTGCCTTGTTTCGAAAGGTGGGGCCATAATGCAGGACGAGTATCCTCAACAGCAGATTGTAGATAGCGTTGCGGGTCTCTACTGGAGTGCCGGAGGGGAATAGGTTCAGCGAGGCGTCTGTATTGGCGAGAGCTGTTGACTGACCCCATCTGACATACTCGACGGCGCCCTGATCCGCATGCTTGCTGCGTCTCACAGGAGTGTGGAGAAAAGGTATGGGTCTTGAGGGTCGGCAAAAGTAAGATAAAGCTACATGCCAAGGTATATATTTGATAAGGCGCTAAGAGCTAACACACGTGGCTCACAAAACCGAAGGTGAGGCGAAGGCAAGGTGAAGGGTAGTTGGTTCGCGCTCTTACTACGGACCCCGCACCAATCAAATTCTCTACAACACCGTGAATTGCTCGTACATGTGAATCGATGCGCTTAAGAAAGCCAGATATGAAGTTCCCTGTGACGCTCATTTGGGTTATCTCTGGGCGGTCCTAATGGCTTATAATACTGCAGTACGAGAGACACAAGCTTATCATACCATTCCTACCTTTCACGTCGACCACGCTGAACATCAGCTAGATGCATCTTGCCATCGACAAGCACAGAAAACGTGCGCCAAAAACAGCCTACCAAAATCGCTCATCTGCTACTTCTTCGCCCGCTGACGCTGTCTGTACTGGAACACCCGGACCAAGTCTTGCTTCTGCCGGGACCATATGTATCTCTCAGTGCACCCACCTGCAGTGTTGCGGACAGACACTTTTGACGCCTGTAAGGTTGCCTATGGGAAGGAAATACTATGTATACCGAGGGTCCCTTTGTAGAGCTCGACTAGAAAGTACCTTACTGTAAGTGCATATGTATATGAGTAATGCCTGGAAGAGGCTGAAACATTGGTATGTTCCCAAAGGATCGACTTTGCGGTATCATGTGAGGTAAAGAGGCTCTTTAGGCTCGAAAGTGTCAGCAAGATGCGCATATACAAGATCGCGAAGCTCTTGTGGAAGCCTGCTGAAAGGGAGGCATGTTAGTATCCATTCAAGAACGTCAAAGGGTGGAAACTCTTCTCGCTCCGCCCACTGGTTGTGCAGATCCTGTGACATGGCTGATATAGGCTTGTCATGGAACATCCTTAATGATGACTTCTGTTCCGGCAAATGGTGGTATTGAGGTCTCAATATAAGGTGGATGAAAACGCTGAGAAGACGCCATAGTTGGTGCTGGAAGAAAGCAAAGCTTGTCTAGATCAAGCAGAGGCCACATGTAAAGCATTTGCTCAAATTTGCTTGTATCAACGACATAGCCAGCTCATACCTCTCTCATGTCCAGATGATTTCGATCTTCTCTCCCTTGACTTTGGAATTGAACCACTCATAGATCTCAACATCACCCTGTTTCACCGCCCGTCCGCCATCGAGTACTTTGCTGCTAGCCAGTTTCTCTGTTGCAAGATGCAGCTCCAGAGTCGCCAAGTTCCTGGCTATGCACGCTCGACTGCCTGCACCAAAAGCAAACCAGTATCTCGACATGTCTTCCGTGGCGTCTAGCCAACGCTCTGGCATGAACTCACGTGGCTCGGGAAAAACATCCGGATTGAAGTGAAGTTCGTAGGCTGCGCATCCAACTATCGAGTTCGCTGGGAAGAACGTACCTTTGAACAACCAACCACCCGCCGGTACCACATGAGGTAGACGTGTGGGATTGGCCATGCTGAGCCGTAGACTTTCCTTGACGACTGCAGTGAGGTAAGGCAGAGCCTGGATGTCTCCAGCTTGTGCGCCGCGTGCGCCGTTGCTACCCACCTCTTGCTTCAATCTTTCGTACCTCTCGGGATGCATCACAAGACTTCTAATGATTATTGCGAGGTTCATGCCTGTCGAGTCTGTGCCAGCGAAAATTAGATCTTTGCACTGCGCTTCGACTTCCGAATTGCTGATACCAGCGGCCATCAAGCGGCCTGGGTAGGTTTGCGACTTAGAAGACGTGCTGGAAACCAAGTTGCTGACAAACTTGTCAACAAGTGTCATGCTCTCCTCCGTTTCTTGGTCGGCCATCCACTTCCCGATCGCCCATTCCAGCCAGACAAAGACCGTAGTCGGCAAGTAAAAGAAGCGCCCAACGGCTACAAAGGCGTCGACGAATGCACCCACGCTCAAAGTCGGCCCACTCTCGCTGACTCCGTCATAGTTCTCGCGGAACAGGTGCGTCGACACAGCATCCACAGCTAACGCTCTTGTCAGGTTTAACACGTTGACTGGTTTCTTCGCGCGTGCCTCTTCGCCTAATCTCTTTACCATACGGTCCACACACCCGGCGATTTCATCTCGGTTCTCCCTCAGACTCTTCGTTGAGAACAGTGGAACAACAGCTTTAGCCCTTGGCGCTCTGTAGTCAGGGCTTGTAGTCGAGAAGATCGATCTGTGACCATCAATGTCGAAATTGGCGTAGCAAGGGGCTTTCATGAAACCCCCTTTTGCGACGTAGATATGTTGAACAGCATCGGCGTCACTGATGTCGACCTCATTGGGCGATACGCGCACGTATGGGCCGTACTGGGCGTGAAGACGATAAATAGTACTGGCTTCGTCGCCAATGTAGGCGTGATAGTGGAGCCATAGCGAAGTGATTTTTGGTAATATTGGTCCGGGTATATGAGATAGTGGATGGAAGTAAATGCGGTATATCGTACGCGCCAAAATGAGCAGGATAATAGGTATCGCTGTCGATGAGAGAGGACGTGCGAGAAACTCGCTAAGGGCAAGATCAAGTGCCGCCATCCTGACAGCCGGATGAACTGGAGAGTTGATGCAGCGTTGTGAACGTCATCTTTATAGCGGCGTGTGGTTGGTTGTTGAGTCACTGGGCGCGGAAGTGGGGACGCTAGTGATAGTGATGCTGATAAGGATATCTGTCGCGTCCGTCAACAACACCACCACTCATCCATCTATATCTATCGCAAATCCATCACGACAACGAAGGTGCTTCATTGTCAAAGCGCTCTGAAGATGCGCACGTCCTTCGCGGCGGCCTTAAAATGCGCCTGGAACTAGTGAAGGCGTGACGTCAGCGCGTGTCATACTTGTCCAGGCCTACGATATGAACTTCGAGACGTCTTCCTACAAAACAGCTTAGTACACACATCCAGCACCTCAAAGTCGAGATGAGCTCGCAGAAACTGGCTTGATTGATGCTAGAATCAACAGTTGAGAAGCTTCCGAGGCAGCTACAACTACCACGTGCTCTCCCAATACACCCCTTCGCAACAACCGTCGAGTGTGAGTGTAACTTGTCAACAGTACAGCTGCGCCGTGAACCGTCGAAGAGAAGCATCGCTGTATCTGTCAGATTCCCCTGAGGGTGGTAATGGCTATCCAGCACACGGGCGAAGCGCATACCGAAGCTCCCCGAATAAGATGGTTCATTTTTATCATTTCCCGCAAAATGAGATCTCGCGGAGCTACAGTACAAGCTACAGGATTCGAGTCACTTTCGACATCGTCTAAGATCCGTAGCTCCCGTTTTGGTGGGGACAATGGTTGACAAGTCATGCTCCGCGGACATCGGCCAATCTACCGCAATTCAAAACGCCTGCTGGTCTACAAGACCTGAAGCAATTTGCTCAACCTCCTTCATCGAGTACGACTCGGAAACGACCGACGATGTCATTGCGCCATAAAGCAGCACGATCCGGGCTGATCCCCAGCGGCCTCAACCTCGACCGAGCGATGATTGGCGAGCTTTAACAATACCCGTGTCCGTGCGCGTAATGCGCCGAATCCTCACCAAAATAGCCTTTCTCTAGTACTCATTAGATAGTAGAGAGTAGAGAATATTGAATGTCTTAGGAAATAAGCTAGATCAAAAAACTTTCTTCTAATATAAAAGTTAGTCTACTTACAGTACTCTATCTTGTATTGAAATCTTAGACAAATCTATCAATCTTGTGTTTGTAGTTTTGGAGTAGAAAAACTAGAATAGCTATATTTTAAAAACATTTATATATAAGAGTTATAGATCATATCATCTACTATGACTTTAGTATTAGAGTTTTATTAGTATCTCTTCTAGCTAAAGAGCTGGACTATCTTAAAGAGTACCAGAAATAGGCTATTTTGGTGAGGATTTCGGCGCATTACGCACACGGACACGGTAGTGGCAGGGAACGAGGCTCTAGACCTCTGCTGTGCACATTCAACAGACGTTCAAGTAAAAGCTCGAGAATGTAAAGCATTATTGCGTGGATGATGTTGCTCCAGTGATGTGAGTACTATGAGACTTCGACGTATGGGGTGTTCTATTGGATGTTTGTATGCGATGAATGTCTCCTTTCCGCGATTCTCCCTGCTTGACTGACATCGAAAAGACTGCCCTCATATGTCCATCATCAGATACCTATCTGACTTATTGCAGCTACTTCTCTGTGGTAACTAGCTGTGCTACCCTGGATCGGCTTTAGATTTGGGTTTCTGGTCGCGCTGCGAATAGACCTTACCGACAGCCATTGACCTTCAATTTCAAAAGGAAATACAGGTTTGCACTGGCGTTTATGCGTCTAGACAACGTCGACTTGAGATGTGGATATCGTCGAGACTCGGCATTTGGGCTTGGTGGTGTTTCATATTTACAGGCCACAACGCGCCATTGTAAGGCTTGGCCACATCCGGCTCGACTCTAGTTTCACACTTTAAGCCACCACCACTAAAACCCTGCCGTCATTATCGACCTAAGCCTTGTCACGGGGGTGTACTTGGCCTGTGAGGTGCACCATTTCGATCACTTGAAACCTTGTACAGTCCAAGGCGACTCCTGTCTACACTCAATTAGATTAGCCTGGCTGTCAGACATGGTTTTGTATGTAAATTCTCCAGCACGGCACTTACAGCTCGTACTTGAGCTAACTGTTTCCACCATTCATTGTTGAAAGCAATGACCGGGTTACCATTCCTCTTTCCCCAAGGCGCCGAGATTTCGGGAGCTTCTGCAATCTGCGATGCTGATATATAGATGCGATGACTCTCGTTGTTTGTTTTCTCTCCATCCTTTCCCGCCGTTGGTCTTCTTACCCATTCGTCATTCGTTTCTCGACCGCCAGGATGCGTAATTCTATCATTGCTTCGCTGCTTTCGGCAGTCAGTGTCGTCTACGGCTATGCCAACCCCATGGCCTGCAGTGGTGTCTGCAACAACGCCCATGACCCGGCCCTGATCCGCCACTCTGATGGCACGTACTACCGTTTTTCAACTGGCGGAAAGATCGCTGTTCACACTGCCCCTGCTGTCACTGGTCCATGGACTTACAAGGGTGCCGCTATCCCTGCCGGTTCTAAAATCAATCTGAGTGGCAAGGATGACCTCTGGGTAAGACATTATAACTACATCGTTTCGTAGTTCGCTAACACTCTCCAGGCTCCTGATGTCACCCTGGTCGGCGACACATACTACCTCTACTACACTGTATCGGCCTTCGGTGTTCAGAACTCCGCCATTGGTGTCGCAACCTCCAAGACCCTTGCCGTAGGTTCCTGGACCGACCACGGCAGCACCGGCATCACCTCGAAGGCTGGTAAGAACTACAACGCCATCGATGGCGCTCTCTACTGGGACGGCTCCAAGTTCGTCATGTCGTTTGGTTCTTTCTGGAACGACCTGTTCTCCGTGAACATGAACAACCCCCCTCTCAAGTCTGCCGGTGGCGCATCCACCAACATTGCGTTCAAGTCTGAGGGTGAGCACGCTCAGGAGGCCGCCTACATCGCCAAGAGCGGCAACTACCACTACCTCTTCTTCTCTGCCGGCAAGTGCTGTGGCTTTGACACTAGCCGCCCCGCCAAGGGCGCCGAATACAAGATCCAGGTCTGCAGGTCCACCAGTGCTACCGGCGGCTTCGTCGACAAGTCTGGCAAGAAGTGCACTGAGGGTGGCGGTACCACTGTCCTTGAGTCCCACGGCTGGGTCTATGGTCCTGGCGGCCAGGGTGTCTACTGGGACCCCAAGGAGGGCCCTCTCCTCTACTACCACTATGTCGACACCCGCATCGGCTACGCTGATGGTCAGAAGAAGTTCGGTGTCAACAAGATCGACTTCTCCAGCGGCTGGCCTGTCGTATAAGCGATCTAACATATGGTCGAAAAGCAGTCTCTGCAGCAGATTGCGAGCACATACCTTCTATTCTGTACATACTTTAGCAAACATACCTACTGTATATATTTTAAACAAACAGCGACCACCGCACGCTTTGCTCTTACATACTCGCACTTGCGATTCATGCTATGACACATCAACATGATGCTGACCTCATATTCCCAGAGTAGTGAAGGGGTACCTGTTGGGTGCTGACTTGATCAACGTACCGCTGCACTACATTTAGGGAGTCCTACGAAACTGCACAGCTGGTGTGTGAAGAAAAGGGCCGAAGAAGCTCCTTCTGAGAGCGTGCACGAGGCACGGCGACGCTGAAAAATGCGTTGTCAAATTGAGTCTGATTGGTTTCTGCTCGACTCGAGACTTTCTTGCCGCACACCCTCAACTCTATCAGTCAGCATTTCTTGCAGCATTGCGTTAGCTCTCTGCATCTTACTTCTGCACTATATCTTGTAATGGTAGAGACAAGCTAGCCATAGGCTCACAACTCGGTTATTTGCAACCGAGACTGCTTGCCGCCGTTTCATGCATTGGGAAGGCGGACATCGGCACAACAACGTCCGAAAGCAAACATCTTCGCCACGAATAGCATGCACCCCATATATGTAGATACAGTTTGACACGACCACCAACAACTTATTGCTCGCGTAGTCTTTGGCATGTGAAAGCGAATGTGGTAAGATCCACCTTATAATTAATCATTGACTTGCACCAATGCGGCATAAAACCCCTCTGCCGAGCGACTGCATACCATTAGTTGGGTTCAAAGGAACAATTTTCGATAAGCCTGGTGAACGTCAGCATGATTGGGCGTCGGCACGCCGAGGGTGCATTCGCTCGCAAAGCGCTTCGCTTCCTTCAGATATCTTATAAAGCCGGACTCCCTGGCACCTTGCGAACCCCATCTTCTTGATCCTTAAGTAGTAGGATTCTCATTTTAAATCAAGACAACATCCAGACGTCAACATGATCGCTGAGTTTTTCCAAGAGTGTGTGATGGACTCGGCCCCGTCTGTGGTTGCAACCGCTGTCCTCGGCCTGTTCATGTACCTTGGCTTTCTGACTCTGACTTCCGCAGTATCAGAAGCTGCACTTCCTAATGTACCAAAGCTCAAAGGCTATCCTGTTCTCGGTGCCATACCTATCTACTTCAGGGACGGCATGGCGCTGTTATTGGAGACTTTAACGACTTTGGGTGAAGACGGAATTGCGTATGCACAGGTCGGCAACAAGACGTTGGTGTCAGTTCATGACCCCGTCATGGCGAAGGAGGTGTTGGCTTTCACTGATAAGATCGCATCGAGGCAAGAACCCTGTAGCTATGAACCTCTGTTCTCGACCAAGCTGACTCGTTGCAGACTAGGCGACCCTCGTGTCTTCAGCTGGTCCCCATTCTGGACTCTTACGCGACTGCTTGACAGAAATCTCTTTGACGACGTAGGTCATGAGGCAATGCGCCAGCGTGGCGTCTACATTCGCGAGTTCAATAACCCTACCTCGAACGTGGGCAAATTCGAAGGTGTCCTGCGAGTTGCTACTGAGCACGTCAAGGCTATCGTGGGTGATGCAGACGCAGCTCGCATCGGTGATATCAGGCATGCAGCAGATAACTTCGCTGCTACACTCTGGGGCGACACACTCTACGGTCGATCGGATGCCCTTACAGACGACCGAGTAATGAGAGTGGCGGATGAGATTTTGAGAAGGGCTGGCAGTCCTTGGCCTTCTGCGCTGTACTCTTTCATGTTGACCTTCGGACTTGTGGAAGCTGGTAAGCCTATACCGTCCGAAGCCAGAATCCGCGCCGAGATTGAAGACCTCTACAAGAAGAATGTGCAACATCTCGAGAACTATGAACGCAGCAACCCGGATTCACCGGTGAAAACTATCCGGAGCCTTTCGGTGGCGGACGGTGGGAAGCGGACTGGTCCTTTGACCATACTTGCTACTCAATTCGCCAGGATTAACGTTTTTGGTAAGGTCCAATGTTTGTACCCCACTAACTGTGCTAATATTGCACAGGTGGGCACCACAGCATCGGCTCCAACATAACGTGGACATTGATCGAGCTCCAGAAACGTCCAGACGTTCTTGCTAAGCTGCTAGCAGAGATCGAATCCATTGGAGAGATCGACTTCACGACTGTAACCACAAAGATGCCGTACCTCAACGCAATTGTCATGGAGATTAATCGACTATACCCGACTGTGCCCGCGACACTCCGAGTTATCGAGCGAGAGACTCGCCTTGTATCGTGCAAGAAGCCCGTCGTATTGAAACCCGGCATGCTGATCTACCTCTCATATCTCCATATGCACACTTCACCCAAGTACTGGGGTCCTACTGCTGGCGAGTTTGACCCAAACCGCTTCTTGAATGGGGTGGATAAGAGCAAGCCGTTCATGGCTTTTGGGTCGGGCACTCGTGACTGTGTAAGTGTTACCCACAGCCCGCTTGCAGCCACGCTCATCGTTACAGGTCGGATATAAGTTTGCCTTACTGGCAGTGAAGGTATATCTTATCACACTACTGCAGACCTACCGCTTCAAGGTCGAAGAAGACAACTGTACGCCCAAGCTGAACACTCTGCTTGAAACGTCCGGACCAGTCAAAGTTGAGTTCTTCCGCAAAACATGAGGATGCCTGTTGAGATTTGTACGCGTAAGTAGGTCGAAGTCTGCTTAGCACGAGCTGAAGATTGTCAGATAAGATCAATTCGCTTTTCTTCTGTTCTCAAGACATAGCTTCCGTCTAAATCATTCTATGTGCTGCTCCAATGTCCTTGAATTCCAACACCCGCCACACATGTGGCTTGATCACTTTTCTCTCGATAAAACCTACTAGACTACCCCACTTTGGGAAAGACATACGACTTCATGGTCAAAGATCACAATTGCGAGTCAAAGCGTAACACCCTACTCGAGACCTGTGGACCAGTCAGTATCGAGTTCTGGTGTCGAGACGCGGTTGATCCTGAGGGGAGTGAGTGTGCCGGGAGTAAAAACAACTGACCCGATACTGCGTTTCTATCTCACCGCTTCGGATTACTGACGGTGTACAAGACCTAAGTTTCGGCAAATAGCACGCGAGCTGCTAGATCGCGCACCACACCACCAGTGGTGATACAGCTCTGCATAGTTTCTGTTGCAGTAAATGCAATAAGTGAAGGTGTAACCACGCAGGGCAGTAAGTCAGGGGTAACCGCGCGAAGCAGTAAGATCTGTATATTGTGTTCTGTTGTTGTTCTGTGATTGTCCTTCACCCGGCAGTCATCAGGGTCTGTTTACATGACGTATCTGTCGTGCAGCCAGAAAGTGCTGTTGGAACAGGCAAGAGCACTGCACCAGCAAACGTGGCAGACATGACCTCTTCACTCCGTAATTCGTCACAGTTTCACTACCACCGAGCTCGGGTAGGTATTGTGGCGGCATGGGCCGCTGTATTACACTGATAGCTACGGTAAACGATAACGTAGGACTATCGGGTCGATGAAATACTGCGCTGAATTGCTATCTAGCTTAGAGAAGGCGACTATATACTGGCCCTGGAACGTGCTAGTCCAGAACAGTCTAACCAATGGTAATCGGATCTCTTACGGACCGACTGATATCGCAACAGATACGTATCAACGCTTCACATTGTGGGTGTGGTACGGAAGACTGGGAGTGTCAGCAATGTGACCGACGCAGGAAAGCAAGGCTCGGATTCTACCAGTTCAGTTTCGAAATTACGATAAGTCAAGAAGTTCGGACCTGAAATGACAGCATCTTAGATGGGTTGAGTAGTATTGAGGCATTATAGGAGGTCATGATCGATGCACTGAACTTCGCTCACGGTTTTCGTAGCTCGGCTTCGGGCCCGTTCATTGCATCGCAGTCAGGGGAAAGTCACAAATGCTAGTATCTGACTGACTAGAAAATCTAGTCCGGTGCTTGCAAGAGGTACACTTGTATCTTTCGCCTGAAATGTCGCCACATAGCTATCAGGCTGCACGCATTTTCACCAAGTCGCCGGTACGGCCAAATCCTATACCCCAGAGTCTTGGTAGTAGCATCCACCCTCGAAACTCTCCAAACAAGTCGCAATTGCCAAAGATGTCAGCCAGTAACCCGGATGTACTAGCCGCGCCAGTTGATCATATGTTCCTTCTCAAGCAGCAGTACGACCAGAACACGCACCCATCCAAAGTCGACCTTGGTACGGGAGTGCTTCGAGATGAGCAAGGCACGTGCTACGAGTTTGCAGCTACGAGAAGCAAAGCGAGAGATAGAGAGGTGAAACTTGAACCATGATGTGGAGTTGCTAGAAGTGACACAGCTGAGGCAGAGTTACGTGCGGCTAAAACACACAGGTGAAAGCTAGCTGAGGTAAACTCCACGCATTACTACGCCGCAAAAGTATATTGTTTTCGGCCCATGTTGCTAATAGAACCACAATCACACTGTTTTTCCTTGTAAACATGGACAGAGGGAAACTTCATAGAGTGGAACATGGCGAGTCTAACATTGAGCCTTGAAACGAATCCCTAAACAACCAAACAAGTCGAACATTCTTATCCGCTAGCTACGTCTCAATTTCTTTCCGACCTAAATTCTCCACTTTCGCTCCACATGTTCCAATCATTTCGAACTTCTCACTTAGTTCCTATTACAAACACACTTGCACTTGCTCTTCAACCAACTACAACCCGCTCCGTCAATCGCACTCGCAATGCTGCTCCTGATACACTTCCTCGACGGATCAGTGCCCTCAGTGACACAGTCCTCATAGCATACTCCGCCCCATTTGGTAGAACACTCACTGCCATCATCCTTTCTAGCGTTCCATCTGAGCTGAGTCACGCGGGCTTCGAGCGTGTCTGCAGGAACTGCGATGGCCTCGGGGTCAGGGACAGCTGCGGGAATGGCGGTGGCGGCGGCCGAGACGGTGAGGGTGATGATGGTGAGGATGGCTTGGAGCTGCATGGTGTTTGGTGAAGGTGTCTGGATGAATGTAAGTGTTTGCAGGTTCGATATGAGAGGTGCGAGGGTGACCTACTTGAGAAGCTGGTCTTCTTGAATTGGTGTGCTTGAGTTGGAGAGATGTGACGATTGCTGTGTTGTCTGTTCTGCGGGACTGAGTGCCCTTTATGTATCCGTTCTGAGGCCCAGCTCATCAGGTGCTTCCTGCGCGGCGTGAGGCGGTCATTCGAGGACATTGTCATCTTGACTTCGTACTTCGCAATCAAGATGCAGTGAACATGCAGCTTGCGAGCTTGTGTAATGAAGACTATAAGCCGTACAAATTCCCTTCATGTCCGGGGACCTATCATGAAGCTGCTGCTTGGGTTTGTCCTTGCTGTTCTTCGCCTCGGAGTTTCGAGATGGGGCCACTTCACTGTAGCTAGTGCTCAGAATATCGTTGTGAAGCGAGACGGGACATGATTCTCATTTGATGTTACCCATTTTTCATTTAGTGTTACCCAAGATAGCAGTTGGGCGGACTGATCATGCTCTAAGAAACTTTGTCAATAAGGCTGAAGCTGCGGCGCCGATAGCAAGGTGCAGCTAAGCTACAAGGCACGACGAATAGGCCCTGACATATTTTCAATGGGGTGGCAAACAATGCTTGGCGGCGTCTGCTTTAAGGAGAGGATTGATGTCAGTAATACGTTGGAGGCCATTACAAGCTCCACAAGTGAAGCCGCAGCCGCAGCCACCTTGGTGGCCAGGGCAGCCCAGCGATGCTACAATGAGTCTTGTGTAGCACCGACAGACAACGTGTAACAAGGGAGGTCCAGACGTCAGGGCAAAATCGATGTATGAATGCGAGATACGAATGAAAAGCAAGGCGTCCTGGATGCTGCTGTCGGGGGTCATCTCTGCTACGCAATACGGTCCTATCATCCTGGGTCCAAATTTGAATTTCACTTACACGTGTCTGGGGTATTCCTCAAATCGCGCAGATCTCTGAATAGAAGTAGTGAAGAACACTCCTGATTGGCCGTGAGCATTTAGCCCCTTCAGCCGCAGTATAATTATGGTAGCCTTAGCAAGATTTGAAACTTTTGTGCATGTACATGCAAATACATGATTAGCTGCGCATATCTATTTTGATTACGCGATAAGAGCTGAGGTTGGGTCGTCCATCAAAAAAGTGAAGTTTGTTGAACTTGGATACACTGCGTCGCGGGTGACGGGATAGTTATCAACACCCTGTTGTTTTGACGTGCTTGTCAGAAAACAGTTTTGTAAGAATGTAAAGTTGGTTCCGGGCGACCACTCACAAAATGGTGATGGTCTACGCTTCGCTGGGGGGTTGGGAGACGGCGTTCGAAGGTCGACCATGTCTGCAGCAACAGCCTCGTACACGCAGCGGCCCTGCTTTCCCCGCAGTCAGCCCTGCCTTCCCCGCAGTCAGCCTCGTCCCACCAAAGGGATCCAGAACACACATCTCGTAGGATTCTGAGCTTTACGTGCAGCTCTCGTACCACTATTGGAGTATGCTACAGTTTCACGGTGAAGTCGTTTCGCTAAATCCAGCACAGAAACCATGGTGACCAGGATCAAGCTAGGTAAATAGACTCCATGGAATTGCAATTGAGGTCTCACAACATCGTATTGACTTCTTGGGCAGTGTATGTGTGCCATGTGACTGTGTTGAACTTCCCACATCCACTAATGAAGGCTTGGAGATCCGCTGCTGATCAAGAGTACTGTGTTCGTCATAGTAGCTCAAGCTACATCATAAGTGCTTCTGTACCTTGATTCAAGCAAATCTTTAAAATTATACCATCGATAATGCGGTATCATGTATTCATAATAGGTAATTTTGGATTTGGTGGCTGTTGATCAAGGTCCTCTCAGAAGTATATGTTTCAAGATCTCCACCAGATCGTCATCCGTCTTTCCTCTGCTTCGTAGCAACTCATTATACGTCCCGTCGTACACACTCCCATACTCCGGATCAAAGATAGGATGATAGAATACGACAAAAAGGCCTCCATATTCAGCAGTCCCTTAGCGAGTCCTACATTATATCTTGCAGTCAGGTCGTCGGGGTTGAAATCCTGCGTCTTCCACTCTTTCATCGGGTTCACTCGTTTAGCGACAGATAGAAGATGATCCTGCATCGTGACCATGTCGTGGACGTAGGCAGATCGATTCTCCGTCTCCTCCGGATGATCAACGACACCAACAAGGGCATCTGCGATGGTGTCGAGTGTTGAGATGCTGATGGGTACGTTTCCACCGTCGTGTATGTTGGTTGTGGTATCGGAGAAGTTGACGAAGAAACTGAACGCCCCGGCATCTAGCCACGCGCCGTTATAGATGATTGTGTAGTTGAGCCTCGTGGCTCTCGCTGTCTTGAGCATATGTTCTTGGACCTTGACCTTCGGACGGAAAACGGGGAGTGTTCGAGTTTTGGATTTCCAAGTTTCGCACTGTATTCTGAGGGAATAAGCGGCGTATAACAGCCGAGGCAGCTGCATCGATGAAGGTAATCTGCGACTCTGTTGTTAAGGTTGGAACCAAGGACAGAACTGCATCCTGGCCTTCGAAAGCGGGTCGTAGTGTATCTTGAGACGGGTAGTCGATGTCGATAACCGTGACACTCGTGGGAAGCTTTGAAGTGGAGCCAGCTCGTCGAAGCACCTGGACCAGTAAACTTCCAGTACCGATGATTTTTTGGACCGCGACACAACCGTATGTGGCTGAGGCAGCGATGATTGTGATGTTCTTGAAAGAGGATATTGAAGAGATATATCTCTTGCAACTTTGTGGAGGTAGAAGAGAGCAAAACAAAAATTTGTATTAGGTGAGCTCCTCAAAGGTGATGCGAAGATACCGTGCAACATGTTGATGTGCCTAATTCACATCTTATCGTGCTCTGTGCTCCGCAAGAACCACCGCGAATGCCGCCACAAGCAAAAGGCTTGGTGCGCATCGTCCATTGCTCGTACAATCGAACATGCCCTCGTTCTTGCATGCCTAGTTTGGCGGGTATATAGACTATCCGCTGTTTAGTGATCGGGGTGAGGTCCCATGTTTGTCAGAGTGCGGAATTGATGAAGCGGCCCGCAAACTCGGCCCACTGACCAACGCTGAAGCAGTAAAGCAGTAAATATACGGAATATTGCCCCAGAAGTCCTAGCATATGCTTACGAACAACACATGCCAGTTGCGGCACCTGATACTGGGCATGCGTCAGTCGATCTGTTTGTCCCCCGACATTGGCCCGTGGTGTGGGCTCCAAGTTATAGATTGTGCATCGAACACCGTCGCCAGCGTAGCATAGGTTGACGTTGTACGAGGCCCATCAGGGTTCCAGAAAGAACAGAGTACTACGTCGGGGTTCGAGGGAACGAGGAGTGCCGCGTGTGCGTGTAAGGTTGAGGCTTCCTTTGCCTTCGACCTCATAGGAGACCGCTTACACACCACAGTTATTTGATAAGATTTCGAGCGAGGGCGTGGTACTGGCGAAGGGCCTCTCGACTGAATCTATATTCATGCTCTTGCTGAAAGCCCTGACGTAGCCCTTGACAATGCATATAGCCGCACCTCGAGCTTGGCAAGACTTCTGAGGAGCGAGTATTGGAGCGTCAATCGAAAAACATACGCGACTCGGTGTGCCCTCGACAGAGCATCAAGGCATTGATGGCGATCTCCTTGTTCAAAAGCGAGTAACACCTGCAGTTCAGGGCGTATCCAAGACTTCAGGCATCCGTGTCGTGGTGTGGATGTTGGGATGTCAAGTGTCAACCCCAGGTTCGGCTAGCTTGCACGGATGACCGAATGACGTTTGTGGCAGGGACCACCCAGCGCTCCTTCCACATCACGCCCCAGCCTCACCAACTCGCATTGATAACCGCTCTCCAGGTCTCCACCGTCTTCGCCTCCACCACAGCGCGTACACACTGCGCGTTTACGAACCTTTGACGACACAAAACACACTTCCTACGATGCAGCTCACCATGCTCTTTCTCGCGGGCCTCAGCGCCGTTAGCGTCTCGGCCGTTCCTTCAATGGGCGCCTCTTGGGTGCCCAACCAGGTCACCGTGAAGGAGGAATACAAGGTGCCTGGCGACAACCCGCTGTACTTCTGCGCCGACCCGGCAGACTACATTCTGCAGATCGAGAAGGTCGACCTCGACCCCAACCCACCCAAGCCGTGCGTCTGCCTAAACCACGCCTCTCAGTGCGCAGCGCGTACTGCGCCGTGCCTCGAGAGACGTTTGTCCCTGCTTGAACCGTTTGCTAATGTTGGTACGGTAGAGGCGAGAAGTTGAGCATCAAGGCATCTGGTGATTTCAAGGAGCAGGTTGGCGAGGGGAGCAAGATGCACCTGCAAGTCAAGTACGGCTTGATTACCCTGATCAACCAGGAGCGTGATGCGTGCGACACTATCGAGCAGGCGGATCTCAAGTGTCCGCTCAAGAAGGGCGAGTTGAGTCTGACCAAGGACGTTAATCTGCCCAGGGAGATTCCTCCGGTACGTTTGATTAGCAACGAGCGATGGAGATGAGGTGTGGCTTGCTAATACCGTGGATGATAGGGCACATACACTGTTCTTGCGGATGTGTACACTGAGGACGGCGACAAGATCACTTGCTTGACTGCCAAGATTGCTTTCCATCGGTAATTGCCTCGACAGCTCTCCTCGACTTCCACCTAAGGCATCGCTCCAGCAACAGCAACAGCAACAGCAACAGCAACGACAACGACAACAGCAATAGTGCAGGCGACAGTTCGGTCGACGGCTCTGGTATTCTGAGTTTCGGAAATGTAAAAGTTGGCCAGCGCAAGTTTGAGATGTCTGGACCTGCTGCTGGGCTCGTGCAGCAGAGAATGCAAGAACGCTTGCGGCAGCGCAACGAGTTGTAGGATGGTCGAAGGGCTAGTCTCTTTTCTGAATGCACGATACCATGCGACGGTTCGTTTAATTGGTTTCTCTGGTTACGCACGTGGCGTAATGTATATACGACAGAGGCAATGCATACTTCACGACATACAACAGCTGTTTCGTAACCGTGACCATGTACCTCCGCCGCACCTAAACGTGCGTTAACCCGTATGACACGCAATACATATATATGTAGCTCATGGTACGCGTTTGTACGTGGATATCATTTGCTGATGCTACGCACTCTCATCACCCGGAGCCATCTCGACGCGCTCACACACCTGCACATTTACTCTCCGAATAACCTGCGCACCCTCTTGAGCACGCTGTCCTTCTCGGGGTCGTACGGGTGGTCCTTGGACGGGATCTCGAGCAGCGAGGGGAAAGCGGCCGTGTACGTCTCAACGCGCTGTCTTATCTTCTCGGCGATCTGCTGTTTGTCAGTACTTGCCCCTACTCCCCACCGCCCCTATTTATTTATTTTATTTAATTTTTTTTTTTGGATTTTTTGGTTTCGTTGACGTACGTGCTGGTTGATCAACAAAATGGCGATATCCTTCCTCTCGCTCGTGAAGCGGTCGAACGCTGCCTCGATGGCGCTGTTCTCCGTCTTCGCATCCACGACCAGGAAGTTCTTCTGCGCGTCTGGGGGCTGCGTCACGTGCTGTGGACTGTCAATCGTCTGTCGCCTCTGCTCCTGATCCTCGCCCTGTTGTGGTGGTGGGGGACTTACGCCGACGCCCGCGAGCAGCATGCCCGTTACTGTGTCCTGTCTCAGTCAGCAAGGAAGCCTGTAGCTTGTGGGTGTGGGCAGGGCGCACCTCATCGCCAATCACGGCGAGAAACTGCCGGTCTTTGTATGCTGAAGCCGAGGCTGCCATGGTTGTGTTGCTTCAGACAGCTGCAGCAAGGTGAGGCTGCGCTTGGTGTTGCAGGCAATGACGACGGAGCTCAGACCGCGCCTTTCTGTTTCGGGTTGCTGGCGCGGAACCTTTTCTGGGACTGAGCCAGAGCAACGAACAACGAGCGCACTTTCGCCTTCGCCGACATAAGATGGAGGGCTCCTGAGCCACCGCTTCCGATCCCACCCAACACACAGCCACACCACTGACCAACGTACTGCGCCGCCGGCATGCCTCGTCTTGTGCGCAAAGCGCGGCTGAGTGAGCGCATCAAGACATACCTAGACCCCTCCGACTGGGCGCTATGGGTCTCTGAGGAGCTGAGTAGCAGTGACTGGGAGGACTTCGCGGCCTCGTATGCCCTCTCCATCGGCTTTGGCGCCAACGTGGCCTTCGTCGTCGCCCAAGCAAACACGGGCGCATCGAACGGCCTCGACAACGACGGAGTCTTCAAGGAAGCCTCGGGCTCCGGTTGGCTCAGCTGGCTTGCGAACCTGCTGGTGCTGATACTCGCTGCTGCAAGCTTCGCGAATGCCTGGCTTGTGCACAGCAAGAAGAGGCACTACAGGCTGTTCGAGCAGCCCATCGACGCCACACTGACCACACCGTCTGCGAAGCGCGTGAGAGTTGACTCCTCGCCGGCCGGCGCCTCGCCCTTCAGCTACTTTCGCAACATCGCCCAGCGTAATTCAGCGGCTGCGCGCGCACACCCAGATGCAACGCGCGACGTATGGGAGATTGCTGTCTGGGACCCCAACCCGCTGTGTCTGGCGCTGTGCTGCCTCTTCAGTCCGCTGCACGTCGCGCTCTATTATCTGAACCTGCCAGTGGCGCCGCTCGATCCCCGTCCCAGCGTCCGCGTGGTAGCCACCATCTTCGTCGGCTTGGTCCTCTCCCTCCAACTCTGGCTCTTGCGATCGTCATTCATCCAACAGATCAAGGACAACAACATCATCAGTCGCCAGGTCTTGCACGAATACGACAGCAAGTATGTGCACCCTTCGATGCAGAGACCATCACGCGACGTGGGCATCCAGACAATCTCCAAGAAGCGGAACAGGGACTCGAGTGTCGGCGTCAAGGGCAGCCCCCATGATCTCGCTAGCGAAGTCGTAACCTACACACCCAGGACCATCATCAACAAGAGGGTCTTCCACACCAACCCGAACCCGAACTACAGGACCCAGTACGATCCAGACAACCTCTCACTAGGTCAAACGCCGTCGAGAAGCGCCAAACGCCCCGCACTCACATCCGCACACTCCTCGTACACCTCTACCGCGTCCGATGCCCGAGACGACGACGACGCGGATCTTTCATCTCCCATCCGCCCTTCACAGACGCCAAACCCTTTCCGCCGTGTCCCCTCGATTGCCCGCACAAGCGGCGACGGAGGCAGCCTGGGCATTTTCACGCACGCCAACTCTCCGCTGCGCAAGTCAGCAAGCGCCAACTACCTCCGTGATACCGACGAGAACAACAAGCCGCGCGAACAGCCGAAGCTCAGCCTGAGCGATCGTTTTGGTGTCGCGGGCAGATCTTCGACGCCTAGGTTGGAGAAAAGCAAAGACAGCACGGGTGTCCCTCGAGCGAGTGGCCTAGGCACGAATTCGGGGAGCCAGACGCCGAGTAGGAGGGCAGGCAGTCCTTTGAAGAGAGTTGGTATGCCGAACGGTGAGGCGAGGGGGAGTGGGTACGGTGGGTTGGGAGTTGGGAGGAGGGAGAGTGGACGGTTCTGAAACCCAATACCATGAGCATTACCGATATGGTCGTGAGGTGATGTACGATGCGGAGAGGCACGAGGCCTCGAAGCATCTGTTACGGGAACAGAGTACTGATGTATCTCGAGTGTAGACCACCCAAACGTCGAACCTATCCTAGTTATTGCGACCAGCGATTCTGGCACACAAAAATAACATTCTACAAAACGTAACCACTCCTACAACCACCCATCGCAGGACCCGCTGCTTTGACCTTTTCGAGTTGGCAGCCCCTGAGCTGGTGTCGCAGTCATCTGCTGTCACCGTTCGAGCGTTGGCAATCGCTCGCGGCCACGGTGCGATTAGGTGCCATACGATTCGACCACATGGTCACGTCCGAATTCAACCTCTACTTCTGCACCATTTCCATGTAACCAGCTGACATCCACGACTAACCGAGACGCCTCCAGCGAGTCGGCCATTCACGCGCCATGGCCTGAGCCATGCTGCTTTACAGATCAATCTTGGCAGCGCCGACACACCAACGAATCTTCGCAACCCATTGTTGGTACTGAGGCTAGGCAAGAGAGAGTCAGTCGGGCACACTTTGCCTTTCCCCACGCCTGTAACAGGGCTGCAGCCTTTCATCTCAACGGCGTCGTTTCGAAACACCGTGTTTTCGTGCACCGAGGCTGTTCCAAGCAGTCACACATGTTCAGCGGCCCTACTGTGTCATACCAGATTGTCATGCATCTGAGGTTATTCGCCGACCAGCAACTGAGATGAAGGGATCGTCGGTGATTGAGCATGTTGTGGGGTGGACTAGTCGAAGCATTAGCGCCACGGCGTGGCACCCCTGGCAGATGTCTAACAACCTACATCAGCCACCGCGGCTTCAACACTGCAACTCTTCGGACAAAAGCAAGAATCAAGGACGGAAGAGGGGTATGTTGAAGGGACAGGGAACGGTACCATCGCTTCTACTGGACGACTACAGCAAACCTCTTGTCGAGCAATGCATTCTCATGCAGTAAGAATAAGGTTTGGTCTCCAGCGACGATCGCAACTTTGAACCCAAACCCACACCAAGCAATCATGCATCTGTTCCTCCCGCAGCCTCATCCATGCACAACATTGCACGGTACGCCACTCCAAACACTGAAACGATGCGCACAGCCCACTCCACCGTCATTCAAAACACGATTGAGCAACCACAAGTGGACATGCAGGTGTACAACATCTCACAGATCGAATATGCCTAGACTATCTGCAGATGGCGCCCGAAGATTGAAACTTTGTTTTCGCTACCGACACCTTGCACTGCCGAGGTAGCGCGAGATTGAGTGGGATGATGATGGTAAGGGTCCAACTCTGGAGGAGCGAATGTGTATAAGTACACCTTGAACGACTTGCGGATCTACTCGACTATCCTCGGAGTAACATCAGTAGACACTGCAGGCGCACTCACTCACTTCTCTATTACTGTTTGTTCAATCCATCACCACTCAAGATGAAGTTCCTAGCCCTTTCCGTGCTTGCCAGCTTGGCTGCAGCCTCGCCCATTACTCTTGCAGCGCCTGATGCAGACACACTCGAGGTTCGCCAGTTTGGTTCAAGCACCAGCAACGAGCTTGAGCAAGGCAGCAGTTCCAAATGCCCCAAGGCGATCTTCATCTTCGCTCGTGCCAGCACTGAGACCGGCAACATGGTACGTTGTACAATCTACAAGTTTTGTTTTCTGATCACTAAAGTCTGCGAAAGGGCTCATCCACCGGCCCCGCTGTCGCCAAGGCTCTCGAGCGCACCTACGGCGCCGATCAAATCTGGGTTCAAGGCGTCGGCGGCCCGTACGCTGCAGACCTCGCATCCAACGCGCTCCCCGGCGGCACTTCGCAAGCCGCCATCAACGAAGCAGTCCGCCTCTTCAACCTCGCCAACACCAAGTGCCCCACCACCCCCATCGTGTCTGGCGGCTACAGCCAGGGCACTGCCGTTATCGCTGGTGCTATCCCTAAGCTCGGTGCTAGCTTGAGGGAGAGGGTTGTTGGTACAGTGCTGTTTGGGTACACGAAGAATCAGCAGAATCGTGGTGGGATTGAGAGTTATCCAAGTGATGATTTGGAGGTTTACTGTGCTACAGGAGATATGGTCTGCACGGGTACATTGACGATTACGGCGGCGCACTTTAGCTATGCGGATGAGGCTGCTGGGCCGGCGCCGCAGTTTTTGCAGGGCAAGATTGGGAACTAAGTTCTGGATCACACGACAGCGCAGAGGATAAGGAGAGAGCAGGGAGGGTATGGAGCAGCGGCAGGCACCCGGGCGAGATGGAACGGTGTTGAATTCTCATGCACACTTTACGATTACACGAATTTGACAGATCTGTCACGAACAAGAGATGCGCAACAGCCTGATTTCTGACATTCCTGTGTTTACTAGGAGTCTCTTGAGCAAGAGATGTCTGGAGTACGCGACACACTAACTTACCGTAGTAAGACAAGCCGACAATCGACTCTTACATCATCGCGTGTTGGTAAGCTTGTCTCCGAACTGGCCAATCACCACGTACCTGCTCGCCTTCGATTGGTCACATACAAAAGTGCGTGGAGCACGACTCTACACAATGCTTGAAAGGCTAAGATCTCTCATCCGCATCTTCAACATCAAATACCTGTCAGACCTCCTCACACTTTGCGACTCCCTAGCTCTCCACATCAAGCAAGAATTCTGCATTACCTCGCCCTCAACAATGGCCACGCACAACCCAGCACCCCCAATTCCCAAGACCATGAGCGGAGTCATTCTCACCGGCCACGGAGGGCCCGAAAAGCTCGAGTACAGAACCGATCTCCCCGTACCTGAGCTCTCGCCCACAGAAGCCCTCATCCGTGTCGCCGCCGCAGGCATCAACAACACCGACATCAACACCCGCATTGGGTGGTACTCGAAAGGCGTGAAAACCGGCACGTCGTCAGAAGCTACCAGTGCGTCGGGAGACAGAACAGACGACGACTCATCCTGGTCCGGCAAAGCGCTTCAGTTTCCGAGGATTCAGGGTGCAGACTGCTGCGGGTACATCGTCGCCGTCGGCTCCTCCGTATCTTCTTCCCGCATCGGAGAGAGAGTGCTCGTACGCAACATGCTTACCACCTACGTCAACAAGCGGCCGTTCGACTGCTGGACCTTCGGCTCCGAATGCGACGGCGCATTCGCACAATACACCAAAGCGCCCGCTGCCGAAACCTTCGCTGTGAACTGTCCCTGGACCGACGTCGAGCTCGGCAGTGTACCGTGCGCGTACTCCACAGCCGAGAACATGATCCACCGCTCGCGCGTCACGTCCGGGGAGACTGTGCTCATCACAGGCGCGAGCGGCGGTGTAGGCGCAGCTGCAATTCAACTGTGCAAGCGGCGCGGCGCAAAAGTCATCGCCGTCGCAGGCGCGGACAAGAAGAGCAAGATGCAGGAGCTCGGCGCTGATCGCGTGATTTCACGAGACTCAAGCATCGTCGCCGCGCTGGGGAAGATGAGTGTCGAAGTCGTTCTCGACGTTGTCGCCGGGCCCTCGTTCCCGGAACTCCTCGAAGTGCTCAAGAAAGGCGGACGGTATGCGACCGCTGGGGCAATCGCGGGGCCGATTGTCGAACTCGATGTGCGAACGCTGTATCTCAAGGATCTGAGCTTCTTCGGCTGCACATTCCAAGACGATGAAGTGTTCGCGAACCTCGTCTCGTACATTGAGAAAGGGGAGATTAAGCCTCATATCGGCCAGGTGTTCAAGCTCAAGGATATTGGGAAGGCACAAGAAGTATTTCAAAGCAAAGCGCAGAGCGGGAAGTTGGTTTTGGAGGTTAAGTGAGGGCTGGATATGTACAAAGTATCTGAAACATGAATGTGTACAAGCGCGCGCTGGGCTAGGAAGCAGGTGCAGCTGTGATGTTGAAGTGCCCATCGCAGTCAAAATTGCCGTTGGTCTGGAAGTTGCACAGACTGGGTACTCCTCCGCCGTGGACATCGACGTCGTTGATGGTGATATTCTTGCAGCTGCCTGTGCCGCAAAGGATGTAGTAGTCCCTGCCCTCATCTGTAGCAGTACCAGTCACATTCCGGATCACGATATCCGAGATAATGACGCCGGCTGTGGGGTTGCCTGTTGGACCCCCGTTGAGGTAGTCCTGCTGGATGTCAATGCCGTAGATAGAGATGTTCTCGACACGTATGTTCTCAAACAAGATGTTGTTAATGTAGCCAGTCGTGTTCTCGTTAGTCTTGATACGTGCACCGTTCTCAGCGTTCAAGACTACCGAGTTGCTGAACACCATGTTGGTAACGTTGTTGTTAGACTTGCCGCCTACCGAGCCGATAGAAAGACCGTGGCTGCCGTTGCAGTACATGTTGTTGACGATGATGTTGTTGCCGCTAGTGATGGCTACACAATCATCCTGATTGATGACGACGCTGTCGCGGACCTTTGTGTCGTTGGTCGAGGCAAGGTCGAAGCCATCACTGTTGTGCGAGGCGGGAAGGCCGTTGGAGCGAGCGTTAGGTGCGTAGCCAGCGCTGTTGTTCAGCGTGATGTGGTAGATGTCAAGCCCAGCGCTGTTGCTGACGCTGAAGCAATGGACGGGGTAGTTCTGAATGTAGATATCGTGGACTGAACTGGACCCAAGAACCTTGCTGAGCTCGATGAAGTGGTTGGGCCTGGACAAATGTCAGTATGGGCCGATTTTGAAACAGTTTGAGAGCACTTACTTAGCAATACCGCCGTTGCTACCAAGACCATCCCACCATGACTGACCGTTGCCATCAAGGATTGCACCCTCTGCAGCAGTGATCTCGACGTTGGTACCTCCAACCTTAATAAACGGGTAGTTTGCATCGAAGTACTCCCAGAATGTGGTACCCTTGAAGGTGACCTTAGTACCGGTCTTCAGCTTAGACAGGTCGATAGTCGAATTTCCAGGGACGGTAATGCCATCTAGGGTGATGGAAGTGCAAGAAGCTGTAGCAGCTGCAATGGCGGAGTACGCTGTGACGTAGCACGCATCGGCGGTTGCACTCGTAGCAGTTGGATTTCCTGATGTGGGAGAGCTGATAACAATCGCCGAAAGAGTGCTCGTGGCTACGGTCGGGGAAGCGGCTTGCGAGGAAGTTATAGCTGTTGCTGAGGGCGCAGCACTGCTTGGGACAGCAGTCGGCTTGCCTCCGTTCAGGCACGTGCAAGCACTGGAAATCTTTGCTGGGACCTTAGACCAGCGTGCAGCATATGCGGGTAAGGTGTGAGTTGGTGCTTCGGTGTAAGCTGAGCAAAAAGGCTTTGCAGCGATGGCGAAGAGCTCGAACAGCTCAAGGCAGGCATCTTGAGTGCAGGTAGCTGTAGCACGCTCTTGTATGACAGCAGACTGTCCTACAATGGCCAGTGCCAGCAGCGCGGAGAGGCCTGTGACATGCGTTAGGTCTGTTGTTCATTGTGTTCTGCTGTGATTGCTGTATACCAGTTGTTCGCATCTTGAAGACCTTTGACCTTGAGTAAAGAAACAGTGGCAGTACAGCTTAACTCAGATGCTTCTCAACTCTACAAATAACTGACGGGTATTCCTGTTCTTATACCTACACCCGGCAACAAGATGGCTCCATATGGTCGCCCGAGAGAACCATGCAAGTGCCCTGATTTTCCGCTATCCCGGCCCAGCAACCTAAGCACTCCAAGCAACTATGGCTAAGAGTAGTCAAGACACGCCAAGAAGACATCAAGATTTTGATCGCGACACAACGCCTGGGCACGGAAATTGGCAATTATCCGAGTAACGATCCTTCGCTGGCCGGGGTGCATGACGCGTTTCGCCCCACAATCGCCCATTGCAAGAACGTAAACGGCGCGTCGCTCGCGAGAGCGAGTGTTCTGTTTGGCTGAAGCATCAGGGGAAGATGCGTTAGATGAGCTTAATCTGGGGAGCCGCGACGGGATGTGTGGAGAGTTGGGGAAGGTGGAGAGGTTGGTGTGGTGTTGAAGCGGAAGAATTGATTTCCGTCCACAGGCGCGGCGGTTTCAAGGCCTCCGCGGCTGTGGTGGAACCACACCAGGGTCCACGCAACTTCAAGGTTCCATCCACTCCGCTTCATCTTATCTACTGATGTTTTCAGCCCACTTCTTTCTGTGCTGAAACTCAGTGCGGGTAGCTCATATCAATTGCAGCGCTCTCTACACAAGACTGAAGAACAATTCTGGGTGACACGATCGTGGTTCTTCAACAGCATGAGAGAGTCTGAGCAAAACCAATTGTAATTGTGGGCGAGCTACTTCAGACTTCGTCATACGTAGGTCCCCAGTGGTCTTCGACTATATCTCAAGTGCGGTAACAGCCACTTCTTGAGCAAATGGCGTTCATTTCTCAAGGACGCATCGACTTCAATCGCTCGTATTCCACCACTCTTGTGTTGTCTGCCTTCAGGTTTTTGAGGATCTGTTGCACCGAATTTGAATACAGCTCATGAATATTCCTTTGAATGGCCCCCTCTTTCTTGATCTCTATTCTGAAATTCTTCTTCGTGATACCCATCTGGTTGTCGATGTTCCTCTTCTGGGCGGCTGCTTTTCCCTTTCGCAGATTTCTGCGACTGGTGAAAACTTTTTTCCTTAAAGTTGTTCTAACCCTTACCCCATAGCCAACCTCAACACGTATATTCGTTCGTAAAGTAGAGTGAGTAAAACTAGATACCACAAGAAGGCACTCTAAATGTCGAATTACGAGAGCTTTGATGCGCAAGTGCCAACGGAAAGTGTAGAGATTAATGCGACCAATATGGAGTAATTATATGTGTTCCTCTATTGCCAGTCTGGCCGAATGACGGGGCCTACAGCAGAGTCTTCTGAGGAAGATCGGTGCCGAGGGCTTCGTCGAGACTTATTACACTTGGGTCGATCACAGAGGCACTATTACGCCTGCCGCTATAGCTTCTGTGGTCGGTCGTGCAGTCAGTCTCGACGACAAGGAGGGCGCTGCAATCGAATCCGCTAGGTACCTCTTCCTCTTCTGGGCTGTAGATGTATGTTGGATACCTTGAGGGTGGAGAAGCACACAACCTTGTGTTCGCAGTCAGTGGCTGGAGCAGTGGACAGTTTGGAGATATTGATGGGTGCCTTGATCGAGAAATTTGGACGAAGAGAGTATTTGAATTTAGCGATATTGTGGGCCACGATCTCAAACGGCATGAAAATGAACACCGTGGTCAGGGAGGCAGCTTTCATGCTTGTCATGCCGAGAAACAGCTATTGGCGTTCATTGTGTGGTACTATACATCCTTGCAAGCAGAGCCAGCGCAGTAAGCTCCCGAGACCGAATGGGCAAGATATAAGAGGTTGAGCCAGCTGCACCAATGCATTCGTGACAGTACGTACCCTACGGCCGTGTGTACGAAGCATTGTACGGGCTATCGGGGGCTGCCGGTAGAGGTAATCAGACCGGTCAAATTTATCAGAATACCGTATGTGCTGATTGTACGAATTTTCGAAGACGAATTCTAGAACCCATAGGGATCGATATCACTCTAGAGATGGTACGATGGTTCAAGAAATGCTTTGGGAAGCAGGCATGTCTGAGCTCAAAAAAAGTTGTGCCTTCTGCAGCAACACCGGGTCGGGCATGGATTTGAAGCTGTACGCAGGATTCCTTGCTGAGCGTGCTGTGCAACGCAGCAAGGGGCATTGAGACAAGGAAGACGCTCTACTGCAACAGGTCTAGTTACATACCTGCTTTGTTCTCCGCTGAATTTTCAGTACAGACAGTTCAAGAGGAGAACGAAGACGCGCTCTCGAGAGGCGCGCCTTCTACCCGATCAGTCGTGTAGATTGTCCATTGGGAAGCTGTGGAGGCAAGTTTCTCGACATGTCAGAACACTCAAATTGAAAGAGCTGGAGGCTCCGAATCTAGTATAAAGACATGCAGATACAAGAAGAGACATTGACATGCGCGCAGTTCTCGAGCATGTACATCCCGTTAAGAATCAAGCCAGCATAAAGGGGCATGTTCCGAGTCAAGGGACCGGAGCAGGTCATATCGTGGGGAAAACACAAGTCGAGCCCTGATCGTGAGGGTCGCGCGGAGGTAGGATAGGGTGATGGTGATCGAGAGTCTGTGGTAAGCGAATTGTGATGGGGCCATTGGGATCTTTCGCAAACTTTGACCTTGCCGCCGAATCATCAGTGATATTCAAAATGCTGGCCTTCTTGCAGTTGAGATGTCCCTTGAGGGAGAGGCTGCCCGGGTGGAACATCCATGGAAGTCAAGCTGTTCTTGTTACTGCGTGAGCAGTGTCGGTCGGAGGCTGTGGTCAATGATTGTATCGCTATCTGTGTTGTTGGTGATGTTGTTGTACAGGAGCTCTCCGCTCAGAGGTAAGGGCACTTGCTCTCGGGCAGTGCCTTCTACAATAGAATATCATGTGACTTCCGCCACGTGGTTACAGTTCTCGACATTGGTCGAAATTTCCAAACCGGGTAATTTACGAGCCGGTGAAGATGCGGGCCGATGAAGGCTGATCGCCACCGGAGATGTTGGAAATCAGTCCACGAGCTTGATCAATTTGGCCTCTCTATTTTCTGGCTGGGGGGTTGAAGACTTGAGATGGGTGGCTGCAGTGGCGTCGATACCGGTAGAGCGGCCGGCATAAAGGCTCATAATGATCTTGCCCTTGAAAAGTGTGTAATTACGTGTCAAAGAAGATGTTGCACTCATCGATGCCGTCCGTAAGTACCTTTCCGGTTTGCGATCCGGCGTCTTTCAAGCAGTTTTATTGCTAAGGTGAGATTCAATCCAGCCTGGAAGCACGCTGCACACAGGACGGCGAACACATGAGGCGTTTCTCGAAGCACAGCTCAAGTAGACAAATGGACGGCACTTTCAACTGTGCCAACTCTACGACGTGGAGGAGTGGTACATATTGGGCGCCCAGCTACCAATCTATACACATGGGAGCTTATTGGCATCCACCATGCACAGCAAATTCTCAGACGTAGTTCGGCTCTTCGTGAGTTGCTGATATCCGGGATGGTCGCAGAAGCAAGTGGTGCTACTCCGGAAAGTGCTGGTGCCGTTTCGGTATACCTAGGTATGAACCAGACAGTACGTTCGCAGCAGGAGCTATACCCACGGCCCCTCCTGCGTTATCGAGAATCAAATCAAGGGCTCTGGAAGTGTGGTACACCATGTGCGGCGCTGGGTCGAGGTGTTCATCGATTGTCGCTACCGTTTATAAGTCACACCTCAAGCTCAAATACAGGAGATACTTGTCTTCTTGTCGTGTGAGACAGTCTTGGGAACGCTGTTGTGGTCCACACATTGCGATGTAGGCGGCCGTGGCCCTGATCGACTGTTGACGGCGGGAATAAGAGGGCGAGAATAACACCTTCGATCTCTAGCTCGATCTCTTTGCGCTACCTCGTAGGACAGTGTGAAGGCATCTCAGTGTGCAAAAATTGCAGTTCAGCATTCTCGGGGACGAAGAGCAGAGCGATGCGAGCTGCAGCATGTAATGTCATTTGCAGGGCGGGAGACAGTTCTTGGAGCGGTGATTGGATACTCAGTAGGGGGTCTGTGCCCCGCGCCTCATCGATACCAAGGCACCAGCCGTTGCCAGGCCAATGTATCCCCCTCAGCACCGCGGACCACTGCATCATCATACATCTCCACGTTCCATGTGGTGTCAATGGTCCCGATGCATGTCGACGCTGTCGCTGCATGGGTTTCTGACCTCGAGTCGACTACGCGCTTCGTTCCCAGCCCTTTGCAGTCCCGCAAACGCCGTCGATCAAATCCTTGCAAGAGCCAACAACTGCACAAGACGCGCCGCGTCGCATTGACCGAGATGGCTGCTCGCAATCATGACGATAACCCAGACACGACGAAGACTACCGAGAGCAAGCGTATGCGCACGCCGTCACCGTCCAAACGCCTGTTCCCCGCCGACGTATACTCATCAGACGCTGACTCGCCAGACGAGCTCGATGAGTGCACGCCACGCCCGCGTCAACGCATACATCCCATTCCCGATCTGTCTTTGTCCTACACCAACACTCTCACTGCTGTTGCAACTGAAGACGATTTGGCTCTACAACGGCGCGCCCGCTCATATGCAAAGCAACGTTCAGAATCACATTCGCGGTCGCAGTCGCAGTCGCAATCGCAGTCGGCGTCCTCAGCGCGCTCAACAAGCCCCAAAAAGGTGACCTCATTGTGGGACGTTGGTAATGGAGTCACGTATATGCCGCTTGCCAACACGACAGCGAGTCAGCGCGAACAATTGGGGCGTGCAGGGATGGCGCTGTTGGATGTTCTAGAAGATGTAGCGGATGGGCCTATCTTTGCTGCAAGTCTGCGACAAGAACTGATCGAGGCTGGTATCGAGAAGATTAGACAATCCCAATTGGACGATGACGATGATCGCCCTATAGAAGAGCTGAAGGCCGAGCTGCAGACGACACTAGCGATCAACGCATTATCAAACCGCTGTGCCAAAAATCGCGATCATGAGAGCGAGTGGAACAATCGCGTGCACACCAAGGTCTTAGAATTGGCCTTAGGGAATGATGAGGCGCACGTTGGCTTCCGGAGTGTAGCTACTGCGAAGATCTCGTCTGCCTTCCGCCCAACGCACTCTCCTGGCCTTACTACAGGCAAGATCGTCGATTATGTCATATTTCTCGAACCTTCTCGCCCGGCTCGCGATATCATTACCTCTGTCATCGTCAGTCCATCGACATCCATAAACCACATCACCTACGAGGCTTTGCAGACTCGACCCGTTGCCGTCTCCATTGAGACCAAAACTGAGAGCCGCACGGTCGAGGAAGCCAAGGTCCAACTAGGCGTATGGCTTGCCGGACAAGTTGCCCGAGTAGAGGAGCTGATCCGACAGATTGCCTTACTGGAAACGTCCAAGTATGGAGAAGAAGGCACAGCTGGATCTCATTCGAGCGGACGGGAAGAGTGGCAAGGTCGAGTGGTGCCTTCGCCCACGCACGTGCACACGCAGCAGCCGACCCCAACGCCCACCACTCACTCCATCAGCCCAGTCATCACGGGCCTTCTCTCACAGATTGTGTTTCCGCTCATCGATGTGCAGTCGGAGAATTGGTCCCTCTTTCTCGGGCGGGTGTGCACCGATACGTTGATTTCGATGTCAAACCCGAATATGCGGAAGCCAGCTTCGCCCATTCATATTTTCCACTCAATTCCCTTGGGAAATACTGCGAACACGGTACAGACGTATCGGCTGATAAAGAGCTTGAAGGCACTGAGAGCGTGGGTTGATGTCGAACTTCGTATGTGGTGGGATAAGGTGCTTGGCATTAATGACTCACTTGTGAACGCTACTTCATGTATTCACGACACCGCCTAGAACCATCTTATCCTGCATTCCTACAGTGACTTTTGCGAAGAGCCACTGGGATTACAGGCTCGTCAGTTGTAACATTTCCTCTTGGCGTAGCCTTGATGCATCTGCGACTGCGGCAGAGCGACTTACCAGATCCAGGTACCTGAAATGGTGTTTGGTGCTTGGAATGATTCTGAATGGCCTAGTTCGATCATAGCTTTCCTGAGAAATATGGGCAGTGCCATAAAGCTACCATCTGGGAATCTTCCTGACCATCCTGTAACACAGTCGACAAGGGGGTTAAAGCTGATGATTTATATAGATGGGAACTCGCTTCCTGGGGTTTAAGCAAAGCCGTCTAAACATCACTGGGTTGAGTTCTCAGGGTATACTAAAGCGATGTAAAAAAAAAAAAAAAAAAAAAGTGCTGTGCAACACATAACTCCAGCATCTCAACCTTTTTGGGCGCGCGTTTCAGTCAATCCAATAAGCCCCTGACCGAGCACCACTACTTCCGCCATCTCGTCCGCCCAGTAGTCGTGTCTGCAAACCGACATTGGGACCCCTTGGAGACAGGAAGATGAGAGATAGGCGCGCTGGTTGCCAGTGGAGGGACCCAACTGACAGATCGGCTTCGTCGCGGAGTTTGATGGGGCAAGACTGGAAGTGGGTAGTTTCCCAAGCTTGAAGCAGGCTGGCGCAAAAACTCCTTGAGTATGAGTGAACTCGAGATTGGCTGAAGTGCTTCGCAACACGGCTAAGAGGTAGCGCGATACTACAGGCTTGACAGACAAGGAAGCAATGGGGCTCGCCCACATAGTGAACAAGTTTTCGGCATAGCTCAGCCCTGTGTGCTTGAGTTTCTGAGAACATGGCGCAGATAGTACTGGCCATGAGTATGACGGCAGTTGTATGTGGTGTACCACGCGACGCGACGCGACGCGTTACATGACATGTGGCTTGTGCCGTGCACCGCTGAACATGAGTTGTCGAAAGTCAGATAGCAAGGGTGACAGATATGCACGGAGCAGCGTGAATCAGATCAGGCAATCTGATCTGGGAATAACGGTCTGAGGTTCTCCTGTGCTTCTCTTTCTAGGTCACCCTAATCCTCCCCACTAAGAATTTCTTTGAGGTTTGCCTCATTAAGAAATTCTTTTTATGAATGGGCAAATGGGCATAAAGGTTAGGAAAAAGGTTATGGACATTTTCAACTAGTATTGTAGACCAAGGCTCCAGGAGTTCAGTTCTGCCCTTATTTTGTCAATAGGTGTTGTGGTTATGGTGTTATTGTTGTTTAAAGTGTATAGGTTGGTAGTCAATAGCCCAATCAGGTAAGGCTTGTTCTCCAGGCACACTAACCCAAAGGGTATTTAATCAGCAATCTAACCAACACCACACTGTTACAATCAAAGGGCAACCCGCAACAACACTGAACAAACAGGACTACACAATGATACAAGAGGAGCCAAGGAACTGTAGTATTGATCAACCCAAGCAGTGGGCCGCATCAGAAACACTCGGCACAAGGAGTATACTGTTATGATCCATGAACAACTTGCAAAACAACACTGAACAAACAGGACTATGTAACAAGACGAGAGCAGCCAAGGAACTGCAGTATCGATTGACCGAGCTGTGAAGCTGCGTCAGTGATACCCAGTATAATCAACACTCGTAATATCTGTTATACAAACCGAGATTGTACAAAAAGGACTGCAGTGGATACAACGTGGATCTCGTACACAAACGATCGTCACGGACCCATATACCAACCCACTTGCAGAGGACCCACGTTGACAACGATCAATAGGACACCAAGGACCGAGTATCAAGGTTACGTCAACAACGCTCGATTGGACCAAGTATCAAGTCACTGACGATACTTGATATGAGCAGTACAATCAATCCTCCTGTCAAGTATATAAGCAAGTAGACAC